CGTTTTTATTTCGCTTCATCCCCCGAACACAGATGGCCTTTAGCCGGTCATGACGCTAAGAAATCGAGCTGTAGATCCGTGGAAGCGGCACTGAAAAAGTGGGGTTAAAATGTGGCAATGAATCGGTGATGGCCACAAGTGTAGGCAAATAAAAAGGGGAGACAAGAGGGCGAGGAGCGCTCTTTGCAGGAAACAGCTGTTGACCTGGGCGATATCACGTCAGGTCAACCGGTTGGCTGCCGGCCAAGGAGTAGGAATTTCTGGATGACGTTCAGTAAAACAATGTGGTTAATGACAGCGGACACCTGAAGCAAGATAATAAACAAACTAAAATTTTGCAGTGACTTAATCCTTTAAAAAAAGAATATTAAATTAAATCTATTTAAAACTCGGGGATTGAGTTTGAGCCCCAGTGCCAACTCATCCGACCCATTCTTGAAATTTCGAGCCTCCCAAATTAAGGGTTGCCCCAGTGGCGGCGAGAAGAGTATTGGACTTCCGACTGAGAGACGGAGAGACGCAGAGAGAAGGACACAACAGGGTGCCTCCCGCATCGATCCAGGGTGCCAAAATGGCTCCCGCTAGGGCCCGGCCACAAAACAATGCGGAAAACAGGTCGCTCTGTCTATTGGAAAATCGGAACGATGAATTAGCTGCGAGTTCCTTAAAAATTGAAGCACACATCAGCCGTATGCAAAAAACCGCATCTAAAAATCCAACAATCCCTCTGAATTTTCGATGCTACAAAAAAAATAACTTTTGAAAATTTATCGAGATCAACAGTGTACATATAAACCGTACAAAAGAAAAACCCTTCAATAACAAACCAATAACTAACGATAGACATTGAACAATCAAAGGCGAGCGGATTATCTGCGGCGATGTCTTGACGGGCTTCGGCTGCCTGAGCTCGAGCTAAAATTGGATTTGAAGGGGCAAGTAAAGCTAGGGCCTACCGGCGCTGCTTTTTCTCTTTCTTCTTATCTTTTCTGTCCCGACGGTCCCGTTCATCGTCCGAGCTAAAAACTGGCACTTTGGGGTCTTGAGCAGATATTTATACCTGACAACCTCCTTTTTGATTTTACGCGCCGGTGAAGCGTCGCGACGTGCGCGCTTCGGCGATGATTGCCTGAATTTTTTAGAGGAATTCAATATGAAAAATACCTCCTATCCTTCCTGGAGCGTTCTGGTGAACTCGAGGCTTCGCGCTTGATTTCTCGCTTCTGCACCTCGCCCCAACGGTCGACGACGACTTCGCGTTCGCGTTCGCGCCTGAAAAATTAAGTAGATGTATGCAACAATTCTCGGATTTCCGTGGATGTTTCTGGTTTTGTATTTTATATTTTCGTTTCGCGGAATTTCCGTTTTCTTAAACTAAAATATACAGATTTTCGACCAAAAATGGTCAATTTCTATCAAAATTTCACATTTTGAAAATTTTTCCAGGTTGATCACAAACGATAGGAAATTCGATCTATGCCGATATTACGAAAGTAAGGCCCAAAAATATACCTATGTTCACGGCGGTCTCGTTCTCGCCTCTGATCCCGTTCGTCGACCCGGCGACGATCTCGCCGCTCTTCGTGCCGCGGCTCTCTCCTCGGAGATCGGGAGCGTTGACGGCGTTCAACCGGTCTTCCGGTTTCTAAACAAGGCGAGTGCGACAAGTATGGTAAAGAGGTACCCTATCATCTCGACGCCGCTCCACGGGCTTTCTATTCTCATTGCCCTGACCGTTCATCTCCGTTGCTCGTCCTAGGATTTTCCGATCAACAAAAACAGGACGCATACCTCCTTGTCCCTTATGCCACTTGTAATTTTTTGAAACCGATTGAGAGAAGTCGACGTGAATGCGTCGGTCATCAATCAGCACATTGTCCATCTTCAAGTAGGCAGCTTCCACAAATTTGGGCTAAATTAATTCTACTAAAGTTTCGGGGAAAACATTACGTCTGAATATTCGATGAAGGCATACTGCAGAGAACGCCCTGTTCGGCGGTCACGGATAATCTCACAGCATTCAACCTTCCCGAATCTAAACGAATATACATTACAAGGAAATTTCGGCCAACCTCGCAAAGATAATTTCCAGATCTTCGTCGGTAGTAACGGGGTTAAGCTTGCATACGAAAAGCACATTCTCCGGTGGGACGTCATCGGCGCTGCGTAGATCGCCGACCTAAAAGAAAATTAAAAGAGAATAAAGAAAGAAACACTTTCCAACTTTTCAAAAACTTACAATCTCGAGGATTTGAGCCTGTGCCTGCATCTCGCGTTCTTCCATTTCTCGTTTCAACTAAAAACATTGGTCTTTCCCCGCGACAATCTGTTCACCTCTTCCTCCGTCATGCCCTCGTGATCGTGTAAATCCTCATCAATGGCAATTTGGCCACCCTGAAATCAGAAAGTGACCAATAAAACGAAAAAATCTACCGAAAAGATCCTATCATAGGTTGGCGATGGCGACCTTGCTGGAATCTCCAAGCGAGGATCATCTTCGAACGGATCGGCAAGAATAATCGTGTGGGCTATTCGAATATCTCGAAATGGTCGATGTTCGTCGGTGCACAATTGTTCATTCAGCTTCTCTATCGTTTCGATGCCCTCGGTCACCTAGAATGGACGTACATCGTCCCCGATCTAACACAAACCTGTCCAAATATCGTATGCTGATCATCCAGATAGTCACAGTCATCGCCGAGAGTAATGTAGAACTGGGAACCGAGCATTCCGTTTCCATTGTTGACAAACGAGACCAACCCTAAGCAACTTTCGCGTAAAAATTACGAGCATACCTTGTCGGTTGTGGCGTAACTTCGGTACTTCTTCCTTCTCAAAATACCTTGCTTGTTCGCCGTACAGTGAGCTAAAAAGTTGTTGCGGAATTCAAAATTACTTTACCTATAAATAGATTCTCCGCCACGTCCAGATCCGGTTGGATCGCCAGTTTGAGCGATGTAATTTTGCTAAAAGGGCGTAGACAACAAAAACGGGACCGTACCTGGATGTGATGAAATTGGCAGAAATTGTAGTATTTCGTTTTGCAGAGCTTCAAAAAGTTGAGACTGCCTAAAACAAGACATTTCGATCGCAAAAAAACGCTTACAATTTGGGCGTTCCTTGACGAACAGGTCGATCACCAAATCGCCGAGCGTAGTTTCTATCAAAACCGCCATCTAAATTTCAAAATGAGGCCCCTCAGTTTGCCATCTATGCCGGTAGTAATTGCAATGAACCTAGGAAAGATGAGTACGAAAAAGAGTCGTTTGAATGGGTTTATTCTTGCGTAATTCACAAAGCTAATTTGGACAGGGCGGCCGTGAGGAGGAAATATGTGCAGCGGAATGTCAAAACAGTTAGGTATAACCCGGGTTGATGAAGACTAGCATATAATCACAGATTTGAGGAGAATGCGACAGACAACGGAGAGTAGGGTGACAGAGAATGCGACATAAAAGGCAAAGGAGTCAAGCAAGGGGGTTCAGTTGGCATTGGCACTTTCATTACTCGACTTTTTCATCCAACGACCACCGTAAAGCCCTGAAAACGAGGTAAGAAATAAAAATTAATGTTTACCTGCGAAGGCTCCTCCAACGGCGGCTGCCACGCCGGCAATTGTAGAGCCGGCCGCGATGCCGACCGGCCCACCAAGAGCCAATCCTCCCACAACGGCAGTCACAACCGGCACCTAAATCACCAAAAATTTCAAGATCGCGTAAAAAATACCTTAGCATTTTTATGCTTGACGGCCTGCTTCAATTGTTGATTACCGCGTTCGACTTGAGAACGCGCTTGCTCGACATGTTCTTCGATCGAGTCAACCATATCGTGTTGTTGCTAAATCACGGTAAATACACTGAAAACTGGAATAAACGAACATGTACGATCGTCTGGAGTTGCGTAAATATTTCGTTCAAATCCTGGACATCCGCTTCCAACCGCACAGACTCCTCGGCCATCAGTCGTGCTTCTTCGGCTTTGATCCTAAGAAAAACATGTGAGCCAACATCGGGTCCCACTTTAATTCAGAATTTTTGTTCATAGTCTTCTCCATTTGAAGGCGGGCTTCTTCGGCATAAATGTTCGGCTCGTCCTGAAATCTTGATTTGTAAGGCGATCTTTAAAGATAAAACCAAAGGAATTCCCGAAAAAAACCCCCAATATTCCCAAGGAGTCAAACCTGCTCTTCAAAAATTCCTTCAAAAAAGGATCTGCTGTGCTGGAAAAGGTCGACAACAGAAAATCATTCTCACCTCTTCACCTAGATCAAATGGGTTGGTTGATACGCTGGGGGTAGATGCGCGCACCTTTTGAATAGCATTAATTGTCGCTAAATTTGGTTAGCAGATTTCTCAAAACCTACTTTGGATCAGCAATCGTACGGGCTCAATCTTCAAGTCAAACTCTTCGCAGGATTCTGGTTCCAGTTCAGCCCTGGTCGACATAACTTGGGCCAGCCCTTTTAGTAGTTGATCTTCGACACGTTTTGCCTAAAATTACAATGAAGCAACGGATTTTTGTTAGCGGGCGTTACAATAAAAAATGCTATCCGTACCTGTGCTTGTAGCGCATTCGTATTTTCTTTTCTATTATTGCCCTCAACGATTTGCACATGTAGTCGCTTCAGGGAGTTAATCTAAAAAAGCCGGAGATATTGAAGACCAAGAAACTCATCACCTCGTCTCGAGCTATCCGCTCATATCGTTCAATCACCAACGCTACTTGTTTACGAGAATTCATCTAAAAGACAGCATACATAAAAATGGATCCCATTGCTCGGAAAATAGCAGCGGACAAGACGCTTTCTCCAAAAAAAACCCCAAAAAGGATAAAATTATAACGATTTATAAAGCACGATCAATAAGAGGTAAAAACCGGGTAAGAGAGATATTTATTCGGCAGTTTTCAATCGTTCCACATAGCGGCGCACTTGCTTTGCGAAATCCCTAAAGAAGACGATTAGAATTTATTTAAGCCAAACCTGTTGGAGCTTTCAAAAGCGTCGGCTATATCATTCAAAATACCCAGAAGGGAGCGCATGTTCTGAACATTCATATAGGGCATCCATTCGTTGCGCGTCTCGGCGATCAGAGCTTTGACCTAAAAAAAGAAGACTTGGTGAGGCGTGCAAATGCTTACTTTTATAATGACGCTTGGGTCGCTGATTTCGCCGACTTGCAGGGCAAGCCCGCAACATCTAGCAGCTACCCCTTCGAAAACCAAGTCATGCATCGAGAAGGGCGAGAAAAAGCCAGAGAACAGGGCTAGGCAGCGCCACAATTTGACGGCCGTCCAATATTGGCGATCGAGGAATGCGCGGCAGCCTGTGCTCGATTTTTCGATGGCCCTAGGACAGATTGTTTATTTAGACAGAAACTACTTACTGCTTAGCGTACATCGGTATGAAGATATCCTCGGAAACGGAGTCTTTGGCCCGTTTTTGTATGGCATTCGCTAGTCGATTCACCATCTTTGATCTGAAAATTCGGATTAGATAACGTTACGGAAGCTTTGGGTGACGAAGTAGGTACTGGACTGTTATCGGGGGGGATACCAAGAGGAAAATAATCTTTTTTTATCGACACTATATAATGTTTTCTCGTGTACTTCGTAATTTTTGATCAAAAGTTATAATAAAATTTAGCGATTTTCGAAAAGTCGTCAATGACGTTTATCTGTCATTCTTTTACCGAAAAGTCAAAAATTTTCGATATTTCTTGACTTTTGATAAAAATAACTAAAAGTCATTACTATAAAAATATTTATAATGTGTTTGTAGGGTCGTCAGGATCAGTGGGAAAAATTTGGTGATTTGCCCCCCTTAACAGTCCAGTGCCCACAAGCAAAATCAAATCAGGGGAAAATTAGCCACTTACTTAGAAGTTATCGTGGGATATTCTCGGATGATGGTATTGAGGCAGGTCGTCAAATTCTGCGTCTGCTGGAAAGACAGCGGGTCCCATTCGTCAGCCACAAGCTCTGAAACGGCAAAATTGCACGGGCATTGACTCGCAAGGCGACACACAATTCGAGATGCTAAAAGCCGGCAAAAATAGGACGGGACAAACCTGTGAGGTATGGCACAACAACCTTTTCAACAATTGCTGGCAACAGCCCGACAACTACCGGATGTTGCGGATCAATTTCGGAAGAGGCACCGGCCGTCAGAATGTCCGTGTACCAGGCCTGGTCATCGAGTCGGAAGTTAGGGTCCTGGAAAGGGCAAAGTTAAGCATAGGACGAAACGTACCTTCAAAATTTCGGCTTGGCACAGCTGCAGGCGTACGTAGGGAGACAACAACTTCGGAATACACAAATGGACATAGGCATCTTGGAAAGATTTTCCGTCAACGACCAGCCAATCGATGATGCGATCTGAAGCATGGAGTTTTCTGGAAGCGTAAAAGTCAGGATTTACCCAAAACTTTCGAAATGTTGCTGTATTCATCGAGGGCGTCGACGAAGACAACTTGAAGGGCAGCATTTAATTCAGCTTTTCCCTCGTTGTCAGCCACGATTCTTGAGGTCGTTTCTTCATCATCAGTGCTGAGGCCGTCTTCATGCGAAATCCCCTGCAGCTGCCCTTCCCGCTCACGTCTTCTTCGACCACTAAATTTGAAATTACGAGTTTTTTATTACTATTTTTATATTATATAGTATTATATAGTCTCTATTATATAGTTTATCTATATAGTATTTGCTAAGGAAATCGAAATGCCAATCTACAAACTTCCGTATTTTTAATTGCTCCAAGAATCCATCTCTCGTCAAATCACCCAACTACTATGTAAAATTTTTTTGCAAATAAGCCGTTTTTATATTCCTCACCGGCGCCCTTCTCTTTCTGCGGCTCTCATCCCGTGCTCCCCAACTCTAATAGTTGCTATATTCTTCCCAGCCGCCGCTGCTGAGCATTCATCGTAGGAGTCACCGACGTCTTTTCTTCGCCTAAAAACCGTGTAAAAATCACAAACTAGAAATTACCGGGCGATCAGACGCTGTAACCGAGCTTTCTCAATCCCGCGCCGCTTTGCAATTAGGTCATTGATCTCCGGAGCCTGAAGAGCACGGGTTTCAAATGCTGCAACCAACTACCTTCTCATCCAAACAGTCCAACAGACTCCGCACGTAGAGCTTCATATCTTGATACATTTTGTACTTCTCGCTCAGCTCCTTTGCGGTGCTCTGCTTGTCCCCATCACCGAATTCCAACTTCCTAATAAAAACATTATTAGAGATTTTTGCTAACCCTTACCTAAGGCTTTCCTTGTTCTCCGCGATAGTTGACTGAATTTTCTCGACGTTATTGCGCAAGCTGTTGAGGTGCTCTTCCCGGTCGCGCAGGCTAAATCAGGGTAAGAAGAATCAGTGTTGCCCTACCGTAGCGAGAGCTTTTCCATAATATCCTGCATCGATGTTTGGGAGGCGGACGGTTCGGGCTGGATGCTTTGCGAGGGGTGTACATCATCCACGTCCATATCAATGTCCATTTCAATTGGGCGCGAGCGTTCCTCATCCTCTTCACGAACCCGTTGGAAGAACTGGGTGGTCAGCTCGTACTCGTGCTTCACTTGACCGATCTATAAGAAAAACCAACATTTTATTTGAAAACTTATACTACCGTTGCTGCGCCAACGGCTTTCAGAATTTGTTGTTGTTCCCATCTCTCCATCTCCTCATCGCTATCTTTCCGCTCGGCTTCCTTAATGCCGGTCTTAATCTAATCCCCAGATACTATACCTCTTGTTCGAGGAACCGCGTCTGTTGCTCGCGGCGTTTTGTGTCCTCTTCGAGGGCATCTGCTCGGGATGAGTAGAACCTAAGCAGTCAGAATTCTATTTTCGATTAACAACTTACTTTTCCGTATCCTCATCAGAATCATCGTTTTCATCCTCACGAAACAGCCGATTTCGAATTCCTTTTTGCCTGAACACGATTAAATTTCATTTGCTCTCCCCCTTATTCAATACCTAATCTTTTGATCATCATCCAGTGGAATATAGCCGTCATGGCCTTGCAGCCTCAGTTTTTCCCTCCTCTTCCGAGCCTCGTAGACCGCCTTTGAGTCAGGGATCCCACCTAGATAATAAATAAAAAAATCCGCCTAAATGCTTACTAAAAGTCGCTGGGAATTTTTCACGGGTTTCCCTCTCTTGATCGTATTCATCGTCTTCATCACACATTTCGAATTTTCGATCGTTGAGGTCAGCTGGCCGTGAATTCCTTTCCGGAGCATATCGCGCCAAGTAGTCGGTATTTTCGTCCTGTGCAGGCTCCTAAAAAAAAAGTTAAAAAAATGCAATTATAGCCAACCTCTTTGACGGGGAGTCCCGTGGGTATGACGGTGAACTCCAGTTCCTCGTCTATTTCCTGAGAGGGGTAGTTCAGACAATTATGATACCACCCAACCTCCTTAATTTCTACTTTTTGGACGTCTCTTATTTGTTCTTCCAATCGTTTCATACGCCGCGCGTCTTTCAGCTTTTTCTTGTCCTTCTTCAACTTGAATATTTCGCCCTCCTCTTCTAAACCCAGTTTCGTCAAAAAAATCGTGGGCACCGACCATCTTCGTCTCCAAAACTTAAAAGAGAAGCCTTCTTTGGTTCGGTGCGGATCGGTGTCACGTCATCATCGTCGTCCATTAGGGACGTCGGCTTTGCGTCACCATTGTCCGTCTCGATTGACTAAAAAACGGAATATCTCTAAACTGCTAAAATATGCATACCGCTGAATTTTGCTCAGGTTCCTCAGCGTTGGTTTGTCTCTGACGGATGGCACTTTTATTCTTGGGCTTCCGGAACATCTAAAATTAATTGATTTTACTCGAACAATTTATGAGATACATAAATAGAAAACGGCTTATAGATCTCAATTCCTTTTTGCAAGGTCACTAGTTAGAGGAAAGCATTTCTCGGGAAACTAAAGGAATTTGATTGATATCGAGGGATAGTCCTTGCGTATAAAAATGTGGAGGAGCGGCTCGTACTGGGGATTTTCATGTCGTAATTGATCCATAGCATTTTCCGTATCTCCCTTACAGGGACCTTTAGAAAAATAAAAATAAAACTATCAACAAATGCTTCCTTTTCGTTTCGGAATGTGTTGATTTCCTTTCGAAACCGCGCTTTCTAAACTCGAATTCGGCCTCTCCCCACGGATGTACGTAACACTACTCATTCCACAGCCTTGTCATGCTTGAGCCGTTTATTTACCTGCCCCTTTGCCGACTTTCTTCCATCCCTTGCCGAACTGTTCAACTACATTTTTAATCTTTAGAACGCATGGACACCACTCAATCAAGCGGGCACGGCGAACCGAGCACGCCGCCTTGCGAGCCAGCAGCCGCAAAGCCCGAACAGGATGAAGACATTCGCCTGCCCAAGCTCACTTTCTCCACTGCCGCTACGACTAGCATCCAGCAACTCGAAGAAGGCCTCGCCGGCAAGGACGATGAGAAGAAACGTGCTAGGAAATCGGTAGACGAAAATACTATCCGTAAAAGGAAAGATACTAGTGGATCTAGTATCTCTAATATTATCCACCGATTTACCTGGGGTAAATTTGGAACCTCGGGCGACCAAAAAGACGAGCGGCACAAGCTTGATATTAGTGCTGAATCGCCGAAAAGCGATAAATCTATTGAGCGACCAGATAGGCTGCCATTGCCTGAGAAGCTGGATTTATGGCAGGACCCGCGAGCTGGCGAATTTCAGGTAGGCTCAAAAAGAAAGAGAAAAGTTAGCAATGATTTTCAGACAGCATTGGATGTCGGCGGGTCTTTCTGGAACCTGGATGAAATTGACGAATATGAGGAACCTCAGCCGGGGACCATAAATCAAGCCACTAATCGTGGTGAGAGAAATAGTGAGCTTGACGAGCAAGAGCGATCACTTATGGAGTTGCTCGACGAATTCAGAAATGGGCGGATGCGTGGTCTAAATGACAGACAGGTATGTTGGAAACGACAAAAGTAAATGGGCGACTGAATTTAGGTTTCCTTGATGAAGTCTATGAAAAAGGCTCACGAGGAAGTGACACGATTGCACCTTGCACTCTACCCCGACCACTTCACCGGGTTTGACCAGGAAGAGCCGGACGAGGAACGAGAAAACGATCTCTATTCTAAACTTTCACAACAGTTGTACACAATGCACTCAATGTCACCCGCTTTCTTTTGATCTCTCTTCTCTTTTGATTTCTGGTCATGTCTTCCATTCCTTTTTGTTGTTTTGTAAATAGTTGTAGAATATAAATTTTTCAGGTAATATGGATGGGCCAGATGATGTGATGGATCCGCAGGGTGGCGACAAAGTGCCTGATGTGCCCAACAATCCTTCGGTAATTATTTTCCATTCTGAAATATGATATTTTTTTTTCTTAGCTTGCCGCCAGGGTTCCGCCACATGATGAGATTGAACGCATCGAAGACCCGGTTCTCGAATACGACAGTCCAGCAGAGGTTTGTTCTTCGAAAAGTAAAAAATTATTTCCTTTTCAGCCAAGCGGCTCCCGTCAGAAGCCCGCTCCGGCCCAGAACTTTGACAAATTCGTCCAGCGGGTCAACGCCCTCATTCGCGAAACGCCTAGGCCGGCGGCTGCCAACTATTTGGACTACAGCGAGTTGGCCGCTTTTCTGAAGAGCAACGAAGATCTGCTGGCAAGCGCTTTTTCTAGAAAAACACAAATACGTTTTCAGTTGAAGCGCGCTGGCGATCTGGAGGCGTATTTGACGGAATGCGACTCCGCAACGCATGGAGCCCCAATTATCTACGCTCTATATATCATGTACGAGTCCGGCGAAAAGAAAAACAGTTCGGCGGTAAGAAGAGGGGTTCTTTAATGTTGTCAATTTCCTTTTAGGTCAAGGAAAGATGTTTTGAGATCCTGTTCAACTACTTGTCGAGGAACAGTCTGCAGCGCGGCCAAGTGATGGTTGTTATCGATATTTGTAAGTGTCATTCCATGCTCTTATAGCCTTTCAGATGTGCGTCTCTTCCGCAAGGCCCACGATTTTGTGCTCAGCACCATGCGCTTGGACGCCGGGCTTGAATTGATGGCGCTAGGCATCGATTTAATTGTCGACCGGGAGACGAATGTAAGTTTTAATTGAGCGTTTTTATGACGTCTCTCTAGACGCTGACCACTCTCCATGGCTATCTCTTCTACCTTGCCCTACAGGCACACAAGCCCGAGCGAGCCCTGCCATATCTTTTCAAAGTGAAGAACATTTTGAACGAGGTATCTCCTAAAGCAGTGCAAATTATCCGGATCGTGTTTAGAATCTTGTCCGCCAAACGACCACCTCCAACGTCACGTTCTCCACCTCCCAGTCCATCATCGAGCCGAAGTCCGTGCTGATGTATTTGCGCTACGGCGGAGAAGTGGCCTTCGCCCTTGGCGATTACAAGACGTCGGCTGCTTTCTACTACAGCCTCATCACCTTCCCATCGAATGACGTCTCGCCGTTGATGATTGCTGGCCATAGGCAGTGAGTTGTTATTGGTATCATAATTATTGACGAACTCGGCGAGGGGATAGAATTTTTCCTTTATGAATCACTTTTTCGAACAGAGGAACGACGGAAGTTCATAAAAAAACTAGAAGGAAAAATTCGGCCCTTCCACGATTTTGCGAAAGCACGATTATTCCTTGCATATCACATATCTCGTTTAGTTGGGTCATTCTCGAAATCCTGCTCGACGAGGACACGCCGCTCCATGCTCGCTCGGCTTGCATGAGCAGGGCTTGGCGTCAGGAGGGTGTCTTGTACAATCGCCTTGCTAGCGCTTCGAGGTGCCCGGAACCTGTGGCAGTGATCCGGAAGATATTTGAGGAAAATAGGTCGACCTTTGAAAAGGTAGGATTTCTTGCTTGTTAATACATCTTTTTTAGCATGGCGCCACGCGAATGATGACTACCCTGATCAATGTTCTCACCGAGCGTGCCGTTCTGAAAGTGGCTAAGGTAGTCCGTGCTACATCTGAATCAACGTTTTTTTAGTCTTACAAGCGAATTCGTCTTGCCGACTTGACTGCGAAGGCTATGCTCGGCAACATCGGAGAGACCGAGCAACTTTGCCGCCGACTGAGTGCTGCTGGCCGACTCCAATATGACATCGAGGGCGACGTTATTCATCTGGATATCCCGAACCAGGCTATCGTCGAGGGTGCTGTCAAAGATGTGCTTGGAAGGTAGTAGATATCTTTATTCGTTTCAATGTGGTCCTAGGATTGATGACGCTCGGAAGGAATTGGCTCGTATTCGATGCGGCATCCACTGTCACCCGACTTACCTCACCCGCGTCATGCGTATCGGTGCTGGCCACGGCAGCTATTATGTAAGTATTATTGGTTCTGTGCTGTTAACGGGGGTGGAAAGCTTTTCAATAAAACTTGAAAATTTGTTCTTTTCTATATTTTTGGCTACAAATCAAATTTTTGGTCAACTTGGTCTTTTGGAACTTTCTAAGTTCTTACCAATAACCTAATTTTCAGGATGACGAAGGCTTGAGCATGATTCCGCCGATGGCCAAGGACGCTTTATAATTTTTTTTCTATACGATGTGAACTCAATGCAACCCGGGTATTTACGTCTTACATTTCGGTGATCAAAAGAGGATAAATTTTTGAATCAACAATTGCATTTTTTTCCGATCGGTTGCCACCGGCTGGCCATACTTGTCTCGAGAAAGCTTTTTGGGAAAACCGGTCTTTGCGCGTGTCTCTCGCTTGTTATCAATCCATTCCATTGTCACTCCGCCCTGCCATTACGGCCAGCGCAACCCCGAAAATGCCCTATTTGCTAATTTCAACAACCATTCGGCTAGAGACTGGGCCCACTTTTGTCGGGGATAAGGATACAATCACTGATGAATTAGCGGACGCCTGTGAAGCTAAGCCAATCCAGGAACTTGGCCGAACTTTTCCGGAGTAAGAACAGGTCGATTTTTATTAGCCTTTAGATGGGTGTCTCCCCATCCCCCGTCTCGAGTTCTGAATATTTGCGAGTCGCTTGGCTGGCGGGTTGTGGCAATGGCTGGAATTGGGCAGACATGTGTTTGGACGCTTCATCAAGACAAGAAAGAATAAACAATTCTGTGTTTCCCCTTGACAGATCATTGCACACGAGATCCGCTTTCAGGGTTTTGTAGGAGCAAATGCGGTGGAATCGGACCTGTAAATTTGACAATGTCCGGTTTGAATAAGGTACGCTTCTTGGCTTTTTCAACTTGTGTTTTTTTAGGTAAAACACACAACACTTCTCCACGTCGCTGCAGGCGTTTTTGTAACTGGCGCCATGGGCCTCTATCTTGCTCAAAAATATATGCAAAATCGGGTGAGGTATGTTTTCCAACTGGTGACATATATATTGTATTCAGGAAATTGCCACATTACCGAGAAGCCCTTACAATTATCAGTGAGCACGAGAAAGCAAAGGTATCGTTGTCCGCTAATTTTATTGGCTAGTATTACAGGACGCATTGGGCCCTCCGATTCAAGTGGGCGCTGTGGATTTAGCGGATCGGCGAAGGAATTATTTGGACAAAGATACAGCTATGGTATGTCGCTTTTTAATAAAAACCCATTCTTCGAATTCAGCTGCGTGTCCCCGTTACGGGTAAAATCGATGCGGGTTTTGTTGATATTTATGCGATGCGAGCGTCTCCCAGTGAAGAATATCGAACGAGTAAAATCAAGCTGCTTTTAAACAATGGTATGGGGATTTGTTGTTTTTATTTTGGTTGTTTCTAGGTTCGGTCGTCATCTTCGACAACGGGCGATGGCCTGCGTCCGCGGCTCTGGAGAGCGATTAATTGCGTGCAATTTTTCCTAGCTAGGTTAGAGTGAATAAACAGTTTTTGTTCATGTTCTACATGAAACACTAACGGTTCGAAGCAACCAGCATATTATTTGACTGCGTTTCCTTAAAATTATTGTCAATTTAGAGTTGATGCCACATCTTGTCATAACAGCACACTCACTGTCAAACAAGGGGTTAGTCAGTCGCCTTGTTATGCTAAAGAAATTTCTAGTTGCACGGTATCGAGGGAAGGGCTGCTCTATGATCTTCCGGACTACATCCTTGACGAGCACATTGTATTCTGCCAGAAGCACTCGCCGGGAAAATGCCAATGGTAGGGCTTATTATAAAAAAGGATTTTTATATGATATCGCCGTTTTACAATGTGGCCAGACTCATTCCACAGAGCCTGAACTCCTTGGCACGTTCCATCTTTTAAAAACTCCAGCTTTAGAGCCAGAAAAAGCTTCAAAAGAGTCGTTTCAACGATTATTAGCTAAATTTATAGCACTCGATTGACATCTAAAGCGTCGCCGCTGGCTGTCGTGAATGCAATGGAGAAGGACGGATGGGTCGTCAAATCAGCCTATTCCTACGCCATCGACAACCAGAAACATGCCTGGATTTTGTACAGAGATGATCCAATTGCTCGTGCCCCGCCAACACCTCTGCTTATGTAAATCCGCACCTTCCCACATTTTGCTGTGCAATTTGCCCCCCGAAGCTTTAGTGTCAAATTTACGAGGGTCTTTGTTCTTGATTGGCTCTTTCTTTCCGTCATATGCATAATCCCTTACTCACTTTCCCTACTCCCCAATTCCGACTCCTTGCGGGCAGTATTACCCCCTGTTTCTATGTTGTGATAACATAAACCCGACACATCCGCAGCTTATTGTGATATAGGTACATCGACAATTGAGATTGGTATAAAGATTTCAAAGTATTTTTCGCCTACTCTAAGCTTTTGGTCGCGGCCATTTTTATCAGTGTTTTGCAAATCTCTTGGGAAGATAGAACAAACACGCGGCGGCTTTCTGCTCTATCCTAAAACTCTGGCTGTTTTTTCGAAGGCATTCATTGCTCGAATTTGACGCACCCGTCTTTTTCATAGATATTTTTTTTCAGGTAGATGTCCTCAGCTGCCGGCGGGGGTCATGCGGCAGCTGAAGCATCAGCGTTAATAAGAGACCTAGAAGGCATGGCCTGGCCCGAATGGATACGACCGCACGTTGAGGTTGGTGGGCTTCATCTAGCGAGTCGCAATGTGTACTCTCTTATCACGTGACCGTCCAATTATCTTATCGCGCGCTGCCAATTTTGAAGGCGTATTGGCTCATGCGCCGGGGTTCTTGTAGTTAATGGCACAATTTCAGGTACTCCTTCTGTGGATCACGTGGGCCGTCGATCATATTGATCTCGATTATTTAGAGGTTTGTATTTTTAATTTTACCGGAAATAGAATACCCCAAAACGGGGCCGGCGCGTTGACTTTCCATGTGGCTCTCCCGTGAATGGGCATCGATTTTTGGCTGGAATATTTATTTTGGGTGGCGCGCCCTGAGATATATAGTCATTTCCGCAAACATTTTCAACGCGGGCCAAAATGAGCAAATGGTTTGTGTATGGCAACTGTAAAATTATTGTTTTCAGTATCTACTATGGCTATTTCTACCTGTGATCATCATTTTCGTCTTGCCGATTCTGTTAGTGATCTTCATCTACGGTTGCATTATTTTCCTACACATTTATGGGCTTCGGAATCGGATTAGGGAGGTGGGATAATTTACTATGTGATTTTTTTTCTTTATATACTGCGGTAAAGCAACGTTTCAGGCCTATCACACTTCCTATTGGGACGGGGCACGAGTGGCGATTGCTTCGTTCTGGGACGCCATCGGTCATGTCTGGCATGGTTAGCAAAAAGTTAAATCCGTGACCTGTTGTTCAAATAGGATATGAGGTGGATGGCATCGAGAACGTCCCGGACACCGGACCCGCGCTTTTCATCTATTATCACGGCTGTCTTCCCTTGGATGTCTACTACCTCATTTCAAAGGTATTCGGCACAACTTTATTGTAACGTATTTTTGAAGATTACCGTCGTGAAGGGACGATCACTTCACTGCGTCGGAGACAAGTTCATCTTTAAAATTCCAGGTATGAATTAGTCTCACCCCCCACCCCCCTCCCCCCCCCCCCCCCCCCCCCCTTCCCCCTCTTTTTTTTTTTTTTCCTTTTCCCCCCTCTTTCATTTTTTCAATTTTTTAATTTTTTTTTTTTTTTTTTTTTTTTTTTTTTTTTTTTTTTTTTTTTTTCTATTTTTTCCTCTTTTTTTTTTTTTTTTTTTTTTTTTTTTTTTTTTTTTTTTTTTTTTTTCCATTTTTTTCCTTTTTTTTTTTCTTTTTTCCCCCCTTTTTCCCCCCCCCCCCCCCCCCCCCCCCCCCCCCCCCCCCCCCTTCCCCCCTTTTCTCCCTTTTTTTTTTTTTTTTTTTTCCCCCCCCCCCCCCCCCCCCCCCCCCCCCCCCCCCCCCCCCCATAAATATATTTTTTTTTTTTTTTTTTTTTTTTTTTTTTAAAAAAAATAAAATTTTTTTTTTTTTTTTTTTTTTTTTTTTTCCCCTTTTTTCCCTTCCCCCCCAACCCCCCCCCACACAAAAAAAAAAAATTATAATTTTTTTTTTTTTTTTTTTTTTTTTTTTTTTTTTTTTTTTTTTCCCCCCCCTTTTTCCCCCTAAAAAAAAAATTTTTTTTATAATTTAAATTTTTTCTTTTTTTTTTCTTTTTTTTTTTCCTTCCCCCTTTTTAATACCGACTAGTTGTTTTTGGGTTTTTAACTTAAACTGTGAAAACTTTTGCTGAATGGTTCTATTTTTGTCGATTTAGGCTGGGGCGTGCTTTGCAAGCTGTTCTCTGTAACACCCGGAACTGTCGAAGACTGCACAGCAAACCTCAACGACGGCCATCTACTCTGCATCGCTCCTGGAGGTTTTCTGACCCCAAAAAGGTTTAAAAGATTTTAGGTGTGCGGGAAGCGCTCTTTTCCGACCCACATCTTTACGACATCATGTGGGGCAAGCGACTTGGGTTCGCGCGCGTCGTTTTGAACTCGAAGACGGTACGCCAAACTCCAGGGCGTCGAATCTAAATTATCCAATTTTAGCCCGTAATCCCGATGTTCACCGAGAACTGTCGCGACGCCTTTAGAACTCCCGAATGGGGACGCTCGTTTTTCAGGTATCCGGCAATTTTTTTGACGCATCAATGGAATTTTAGATGGGTATACGAGAAGACAAAAATGCCGCTGTGCCCGATCTATGGCGGGTTTCCTGTGAAGATGATCACCCACCTCGGCAAGCCCATGTATTTCGACTTTGAGAACGTGACGCCACAGCAGGTGGGCTTTTCTTTGTAGTTTAAATATCCTGGAATTCAGGTGCGAAAGGCGATCAAAATCGAGGTGAAGGCGCTGATCCGAGAGCATCAGCGGCTCCCCGGCAGCGTCGTGCGCGGAATCTTGCAGAGATTCTGGGGGAAGCCGGCCAAGGAGCACGACGAAATGGTCGGTCTTATATTTTGATTAGCCGACTGAAAATTGGGCAAAAGTCTAGTTCGCCCAGTGAAAAAACCGATTTTTTTGCCATCAAATTTTTTTTGACCTTGCGCTATTTTTTTCGAGGAAATTGTTTGAAAATGAGGCGAAAACAGATATCCAAAACAAGTAGATGGCGCAAAACCTGTACCTTTCCTTTTGTTTCAGGAACTTTTGACAAGGACCACCCATTCTGATGATGCGGGTCATTTCACGGATGAGGGCGCGCGAGCTCAAATAGGTCGGATTAATCTATCTATCCGAATCTCCTGATTTCCAGCACGAAATGGAAAACGTGCAGCCCCTCCAAAGGCCGACGTCGACGAGGCCGAACGCGAAAACGACGAAATTGAGGAGATGATGGCAGAAGACGATGATAACATGATCCCAGGTGGGCTGCCGATCGCCGGCTCCGAGCGAATATAGAAAGCTATCCACCACTCCGATGCCCTGTACTCTCCCATTCCATTGCCAGTCCTTTTTATTGTCCGATCCATCCCATCTTTTTTTGCACAAACCCGACCTCTGTATCTAATTCTCCACGCTCGTCCACTCCCATTACTGCATACTTACTGCTTTTTCGGGTTGTCTCATTTTCTACGAACAAAACTGATCATCTAGTTATTCCTCCCCCCTTGATATTGCATTGTTTCTACATTGGAGTATTTGTACTAGTCTCGAACGACATAAATAATCTCTCATCGACCTTGGGTTCTTTACGCATCTGAAACGAGCACTAAAATACGAAGAAAAAAATGGCGGCAGAAGTAGCATAATTTGCATTTTAATTAGCATCCCAGGATTGATCGGAAGTGGATTAATTTCCCTTGGGATTTAAATACAAAGCAAAACTCGCAGAAAAATTGCCACTTTCGTATTTGACGCCTTCTCCTCGACGGGCCGCCGATACCGACAGCAGTGCAACGGCGGTAGATGGGCGAGGAAGAAAACGTCGCGGCCAAGTTCCCAGTGGGGAAGCGCTTCGGCGACTACAGCATCGTCAAGAAGTTGGACGAGGGCGGCTTCGGGCAGGTCTATCTCGTCGAGCATCGCAAGGTATGGAAGCCAACCGTTGGATTCTGAAAAACCGCCGGAATTGCCTAAAAATTTTTCTTTTAATGGAATTCCTTATGAATTTCAAGATGTTCAAAAATTTTAAGCCCTCAGCCTATGCGTTTTTTCAGGAACCAGGAAAACTCGCAGCCCTCAAAGCCGAGCCGAACGATGTCGAGGGAGGATCGGCGATCAAGCTCGAGGCATGAAATAACGATCCGAAATTCATTTAGAAATAATGGTATAGATCTCTGTGCTGAAAGGCCTCAACAAGGACCACGCCCAAGCCCACATCCCCCTCGTACTCCATGCCGCCAAACACCAGAAATATTCGTACATGATCATGACGCTGCTCGGCGACAACCTCAAAAATCTCAAGGTAAATTGCCCGTTCACCAGTTAGCTGAAAAGTTTTTCTTTAGCTTTCCTGCCCGAACGAATTGATGTCCCCGTCATCGTGGTCGCGGATCATGGTGCAGTGCGTGGTGGCGATCAAGACGGTGCATGACTACGGCTTCGTCCACCGCGACATCAAGCCCAACAACTTTGTGCTCGGTCACAAGGACGATCTGGAGAGGTAGGCCCTAGAAAAGCGAGAGATATGTGAGATCTTTTTAGATGTCGCATGGTGCACATCCTGGACTTTGGGCTGTCGCGTGCCTTCGCCTTCCGGTCGCTGAAAGACCCGACGCGATGGGTGGCGAGAAGGGCTCGCGGTTCGGCCGAATTTCGCGGCACTCTCCGATACTGCAGCCCGGCTGTGCACGAAAAGCAGGAGCAGGTATAGTTTTGTAACCCTCCAAAGCAATTTGGTAAGCACTAGTTTTTGAAATTTTTGAATCTGAAAAACTTAAGAAAAACTGAAATTTTGAAAACTCAATTCAATTTTGAACCCTATCTTTTCCAGGGCCGCAAAGACGACCTCTGGAGTCTGTTCTACGTGCTAATCGAGATGCATTGCGGATTGCCCTGGCAGACCACCCGCGACAAGGACAAGATCGAGACGATGAAGCTGCACATCAGCGACGAGACGCTCTGCCTCAACCTGCCGAGTTGGTCTTCGGAAGTTTTGCTCAGGCTTAAAACGCTCCGACAAGCATCTAGTCACAATAAATGATTCGTTCAGAAGAAATGCTACCAGTCATCCCCTATCTGCGCACGCTCGACTGCTACAACCGGCCGGACTATGCTATCTTTTTGGATGCTCTCCTCGGGGTAGGGCAAAACTAGCCAACCCAGAAGCTTATCCATCTCCAGGTGATGAAAAGCCGCAAAGTGAAGTGGAACGACATGTACGACTGGGAGAAGAAGGAGAAACTACAGGCCAAGGTTAAGCAGGCCCTCGAATACGCGGCCAAGAATCCGCCACCGTGGGAGGACGCGTCGGCCACGATCAAAAAGGACCCGCTTGGCATTGACAAGGTAATTGAGATTACCTTAATTCTGACGATCCCTCCCAATTCAGGCGCCGTCTCCGGAAGACGAGGAATGGCGTCAGGCCGCCACCGAAGAGCTGTCAAAGATTGCCAAGTCGGCCACCATTCCCCGCTCGACCAAGTGATTCCTGGCGGCCGTCCTGAACATTAACAAACCTCGCTGACTCATTGTATTCGTTCGAAATATGAGACTTTTCACGAATAAACCATCGCCATGATTGTTGTTGTTTATTGTCCTGTGTTGTCTATTTTGCGGCGGTATCTCTAGCTGATTGACCAGGGCGGCCTCTATAAGGGTGAACTTCAGATTCCCAATCCCAATCGGCCCAAATTCGAACCGCCATGTTTTCCTGCCTGATCGGACCACCTTGCAGAGTTTTACGAGGCTCAAAAGACCGGTGAAGCCGAAACCTGATACCAAAAGCGCTCGTTCCGCCGCGAAACTGACAACAAATTTACCCAGCGCTCAAGGCGGAACCCCAATCTTTTGTGCGACAGATATTCTGACCAGCCGATTCATACACGACTGTTTGTGTGCGTTTCAATGAAATTCCTCTTTCTTGCGAAACAACAACAATACCCCCTTTTCACCAATAATCGTTTGCTTTGCAGGTTGGGTAATGCAGCCGGTGCGCTTGGTCGTCGGTCGCCTGCTGGCCCGTTGCCCGCCAACCCACAGCGGTCGCCAGCTCTCGTCAGGCTCCACGATTTCGATCCGTGATGCGCTAAACCAGGTTTGGATTCAAACATAAGGCTAATCTTGCCATTGCCGTTCCCCTTGTGGGTTCGCTGATTTTATAATGTAGACTAGCTGTTTTTTCCTTCCACTGTGGTGAAAATTTACTAACGAATTTAATAAGACGGGTTCTCTTTCATTGCGGGGCGCTTCCGGACGTGTAGGAAACTTCGGGTTCCCTGGGGATAATGCGAATGCACGGTCTTTCTAACCACAATCCATTAGGCTCTCGATGAGGAGATTCGCCGTGACGCCAACGTCTTTGTGATGGGCGAGGAGGTGGCCCAGTACGATGGCGCATACAAGGTGACGTGAAGCTTGACTTGCTCTAACGGATTTTTAGGTGACGAAAGGGTTGTGGAAGAAGTACGGAGACAATCGCATCTGGGACACCCCGATCACTGAGATGGGTTTCGCCGGAATGGCCGTCGGCGCTGCATTCGCAGGTTTTTCTGACATTATGATACTAAACCCTTTTTAGGGCTTCGCCCGGTCTGCGAGTTCATGACGTTCAACTTCTCCATGCAGGCCATTGATCAGATCATCAACTCGGCAGCGAAGACGTATTATATGTCTGCCGGACGGGTTAGTATTTTCCGCTCAATTAATATTTTTTCTAGGTGAACTGTCCGATTGTTTTCCGTGGCCCGAATGGTGCTGCTGCGGGAGTGGCTGCCCAGCATTCGCAAGATTATTCGGCCTGGTACGCGCACTGCCCTGGGCTGAAGGTAAGCATATCCAGATCTGAGGATTTCATACGGGATTTTAGGTCGTAACGCCATATAGCGCTGTGGAAGCAAAGGGCCTCCTCAAGGCCGCGATTCGTGACGACAACCCAGGTACCTCAAGGGTTTTAATCTTATCCTTTTTTAGTCGTCTTTCTCGAAAACGAAATCCTCTACGGCCAGCAGTTCCCCTTCCCCGAAGAGGCGAAGAGCGAAGATTTTGTCCTGCCAATCGGCAAAGCGCACATTGAACGGTAGTTCCTTTTTTTTTGGATGATTCTTTTTTTCAGGCCAGGCAACGACATCACGATCGTCACCTACTCTCGGGGCGTGGAGTTCGCCATGGAGGCGGCCAAGCAGCTTGCCACGATCGGAGTTGAGGCTGAGGTAATTTTTAAAAGTTTTCTCGAAAAAAGGATTAGGTCATCAATCTCCGAACGCTGCGACCCTTCGATTTCGAAACGGTAAAGAAGAGCGTGATGAAGACGAATCATCTCGTGACCGTCGAGACTGGATGGCCTTTTGCAGGTGCGTAGGAAGGCGCGAATAAACGGAATAGGAAATAAACGAAAAGCGGCCGTTTGAGAACTTTTCGGAATTTTGAGTGTATATGAAAAATCGAAAAAGAAACGCGCATCCATATGTAGTTAGTTCACCGAATACACCATGATTTTTTTATTTGGTCCTTTTTCATGACCCTTTCCAGGCATTGGAGCCGAGATCAGCGCCCAGGTGATCGAGTCGGAAGCCTTCGACTACCTCGATGCCCCCATCTATCGGTATAACAATTCAGTTGGTTTTTTTATGACTCACCTTCTCAGAGTGACCGGTGTGGATATCCCGATGCCCTACGCCCAATCCCTCGAGGCTGCTGCGTTGCCGACGGCCGATCACGTTGTCAAGATGGCCAAGAAGAGTCTCCACATCCAGTAGAGCCCCTGACAGCCTCGCCACGTTAGGACCACTACTCGATGCCTCGTGCCCTCCTGCATTAAACTTTCGAATTTTTCGACTAGTTTCATCGCCCCGCCCCAATTAGTCGTTGTTATATCTCTGCTCAGCTGTCCTCACTACCCCTGTGCCGCATTATAAGACCAACGTTGTGGTTGGGTTTTCACACGGATCCCTCCCAACGCGCCCTGCCTTAGTTGTGTAGAAATAGTTCTCGTCCCCGATCGTCTTTTCCTTGTTCACCCGTTTTGGGAAGCCCTAGAGCGTTTTTCAGAGTCATAAGTCAACGTGGGTATTTATTCCGTTTGTCTAGAATTGTAGTCAGATGCCATAATGTGCAACTTTACGGTCCCGCCCGTGACTTCTTTATTAAACGTGACCCGAATTTTATCCTTAGCGATCAATAAATTTTAAATAATATGCATATTTGATTGGGCCTACATCTGAATGACCGGGGTTTATGGGGAATTGCATGCGACTTTTGGTACTAAACAGCTAGCCTTTCTCCAATGATTCACTTGCATTTGCAAACTGATATTTCGACTTATTCGACTGCTACTGAATTTCTGACTCAACATGGGAAACAAACCAGGTCCGTTTGGTTTGATGGAATCATCGAAGGCTTGATGCAGGAGTGATGCGCGAGAAGCCGGTGCACGCACCGCAAAAAGTGGCCAACAAGGTTCGCGTCAAGGGGCTCGAGCACACCAACAAGCTGCCGACCGTGCTGCCGAAGCGCCAGTGCAAGCTGCGCTACTTGCGCCAATGGCGTGTCCACGATTGGGTGATGCTCGAACAGGAATACATCAAGTCTGTTTTATTTTTTGTTCATCTACCTCCGGGTTTAGAAGGAAGAACCTGAAGCGCCCCCTCGAGACGACCAAGCGGGAGGAGCGGAAGAAGGTGTCCGACCTGCGCGGTGCCCCAACGGCTCTCGCCCGAATCCACGAAATGTTCCGGGACGAGACGGTATGCCGCCGAAAAGTCGTCTGCTACTTCTCCCCCCCCCCCCCCCCCCCCCCTTTCTTTTTAAATAAAAAAAAAAAAAAAAACCCCTCCCCCCTTTTTTATTTTATATAATTTTTTTATTTTTAATATTTTTTTAATAAAAAAAAAATTTAAAAAAAAAAATTAAATAAAAAAAAAATTATTTTTTTTAAATTTTTTTAAATAAAAAAAAAAAAATAAAAAAAAAAAAAACCTCCTAAAAAAAAAAAAAAAAAAAAAAAAAAAAAAAAAAAAAAATTTTTTGGATTTCAGCACGCCGTCGTTGTGCTGGAGGGCATGAAGAGCGAGTGGTACGTGCCGATCCTCTCCATCGTCGACAAGGACATGCTCCACGTCAACGCCCTCGTCATGGTCAAGCTGAAGAAGGGGATCACGTCGGACGGGACGACCGTTGTCTCTGTAAGGATGTTACGCTCTTTGGAAAGATTTATATGCAAGGCTCCGAAAATTATTTTTTGAAAAGAAGACCTTTGAAAAATCTTTCAAAGTTGCAAATTTTTCGAAATTCTGGAAACTTGTTTGCCCGGCTTTTTGCAAATAACTTTTTAGCGAATGCCCCTTGCTGTCGTCGGCGTCATCGATGAGAAGATCGACACCAAGGCCCTCGGCCACAAGATCGAAAAGGCACCCCCGGAGAGCTACGACGACATCGGAGGCTGCGAGCAGCAGATCCAGGAGATCAAGGAGTCTGTCGAGCTGCCCCTCACCCATCCCGAGTTCTATGAGGAGATGGGCATCCAGGCCCCGAAGGGTGTCATCCTCTACGGCGAGCCGGGCACCGGAAAAACGCTGCTCGCCAAGGCCGTCGCCCACCACACGCTCGCCACCTTCATCCGCGCCACCGGCTCCGACCTCATCCAGAAACAATCCGGCGAGGGGGCCAAGCTCGTCCGCGAGATCTTCAAGGTGGCCAAGGAGTGCGCCCCGTCGATCATCTTCTTTGACGAGATCGACGCCGTTGGCACCAAGAGGTACCGAACCTCGTTCCAATTCATTCATATGTTATGCTTTAGGCACGACACATCTTCTCGCGGTGAGCAGGAAGTGCAGCGCACGCTGCTCGAGCTCCTCAACCAGCTGGACGGCTTCGACAACCGCGGTGACGTGAAGGTGATCATGGCCACGAACAGGATCGACTCGCTCGACCCCGCCCTCATCCGACCGGGTCGCATCGATCGGTAGGCCGTGAATAACGAAAATAATCGCCGGATTTAGCAAGATCGAGTTCCCCAAGCCTGATGAGAAGACGCGGCTGAAGATTTTCCAAATCCACGCCGGCTCCATGCACTTTAACAAGGACGTCAAGCTGGAGGAGCTGTTGGCTCGGGAGCGAGATCTGTCTGGCGCCGACATCAAGGTCGCCCCGCAGGACGGAATCTAGAAACAAACCCCCGCTTTTCAGGCCATCTGCACCGAGGCTGGCATGCTTGCCCTGCGACATCAGCGGAAGATGGTGTGCCGCGAAGACTTCGAGAAGGCCATCGACACCGTCCGCGGCGCGCGCAAAGCCGGAGCACCCGAAGAATTTTTCGTCTAACTCGTCTCGTTTTCTATTGCTTGTGTTGTGCCGAATTGAATAAAAAAATGTTACTGGAAAGACTGTACAACCACAGGAAAATTTTAAGAAAATTTGTGCGTTAGCCGAAAGCGTCATCCCGGAGCCCATGTATTTCACGCGCGCTTGCTGACAGCCGTAGCGGAGACGCGGGCAGGAGAAGGGCTGGAAAAATCCAGTTCTCCAACTCCGGGGGCAATGCCAATCGACCCCCAACGATGGCGATGCGCAGAGCATTTTTCGATTACTCACTGCTCATCCTCTACCTTTTCCACCCAAATACTAATGCCCAAGCGGTGCCCTTCATATTTCCCCATGGCTACTTTGACGTCAACAAGCTGCAACCATTCGACGCCGTCTACCTGAATATGATGGCCCAGTCGAACATTGAATACCTCGGCACCAACGAAAAGGAGCTGTACCAGCTAGCGGCAATGCGGACCAAGGTTGGGAAGGCACTCAACTGGTCCATAACATCCTTTGTTAAAGTTTTAACAAGGTTTTATAACAATTCAACTATTGGAAACTGGCTAAAAAACGAAAACGCTCACTTAAATAAACTTCCCTTGCGATGCGTGTATAAGTTAACAAAAGCCCTACGTTCGTTCTCTAAAAAAGGTTCAATTTCCTAAAGGGGTGTTTTTCTCGGGTGTTTCTTTTGCTTCTGAGTTTTGTTCATCTAGTCGGCAAGGTTTGATGGAATTTTTCAAGCTTTGAATTTTAGAAAAAATTAAGCAAAATGATTGTTAGCAAAAATTAAAGTGATCCTGACATACGTTTGGTCCCCCGATAACGACCTCCGGGGCCGCCGGGGGCTTTTTAAGTTTTTAAAAACTTTAAAACATTTTTTTTTTTTTTTTTTTTTTTTTTTTTTTTTTATTTTTTTTTTTTTTTTTTTTTTTTTTATTTTATTTTATATTTTTAGAAAAGGGGGAAGGGGAGTGGAAAAAAAAAAAAAGGGCGTCTTTTTTTTTTTTTTGGGGGGGGGGGGGGCCTTTGGGGCCCTTTTTTTTATAATTTTAAAAGGCGTTGACCTAGCACCCAATTAAGTTGAAGTTCAGATCCCAAAACCGACAAATGCAACCGAAAGCCCCTTCACACTGCCCCGCATCGAGCCACCCGTGAAAGAACAACCGCTAGAGCAACTTGCCGATAAAACCGGCATGCCAAAGCTTCAGAAAGAAACGCCCAACGATTTTCCTAAGCCCCCACCAGCGCCGTTTATGGGTAGGTTATTCGCATCAAACGAATTCAAGCTTCGCCTAACGTAAAAAATTTAATAGACGCCTTCCGCCGACTACGCGACGAAACTATCGACGACTCGGAAGATGGTGAAGCCCCCGAGGACGAGGGGAACCCATTTGCCGAGATTTCGACCAGAGCCCCGGTCGGCGGAAGGCGCGCCGGCCGGAGGAAGAAGCTGCACCGAGCTATTGGTATATTTAGCTCACTGTTCCATAAATCTAATCCTAGAAGCTGCCCGAGAAGCCGCCCGCCAACAATTTCTCACCAGGGAGTCCATTTTGCGCCCCAGGAGCGAAAAGAAGGAACTACCCCCGACGACGACGCTGCCACCAATCCAGGAACCAGAGGGCGGATTCGAGCAGGTGTTCGTATTGCCGGTAGGTGAAGCGTTTTGGAAGGCGACAAAGTTCAGATGGCCCGCGGTTTGCAAGCTCGCAATGGTGATCACGAAGATCAACTCCAGCGCGAATGGGCTAAGAAAAGTGAGGCGGCGAGGAGCTACAGGCAACATTCTGGACAAGGGGCGCCTAAAGGTGATAAAACAAACCTAGGAAAATCGGTTCTGGACTGTAAACGGGGGAAACAAAATTTTTCACTGTGATTCTCTATGGCCCTAAAACAAAACATAAACCATTTTATAGCATCTTACATAGCATAGCTTTTAGATAAAAAAACAATTTTTAAAAGATAATTAAAATTTTCGAAAATTTTCGACTTTTTGAATAAAATTTTTTAAAAAAAAAAAAAAAAAAAAAAAAAAAAAAAAAAAAAAAAAAAAAAATCCCCCAAAAAAAAAAAAACTCAAAAATTTTTATAAATTATAAAAAAATTAAAAATTTATATAAAAAAAATTTTTTTTTTTTTTTTTTTTCTTCCTTAAATAAAAACTAAAAAAAAAGATATAAAACCCCAGAACCAAAAAATAAATATTTCTAGAACAAAAAGAGGCGGCCGAAGAGTACCGCCGACAAAGGGACAAGCTGGCCGGCCCGTCCCCCGCCTCCCAATACCAAAGTCAAAAAGAAAAGTTGCGCGTAGCTGGAGCGGCAGAAAATGAGGAGGACTCGATCGATATCCTCGACGCCATTCAGGAAGAAGAGATTCGCGAATCGTTGCACAAGAATGAGGGCAAGAAACCGAGCACCACCCCCAAGCCTAGCCAAAAGAAGAAGGGCCCCACCTTTCCGACGCTAGCCCCGGAATTGGAGATTGAAGAGGTGACGGAAGTGCCGCAAAAGGTTCAGGTAGGGTTTTAAATATGATATATGATAGGCAACTTTTCATGACAATAGAAAACATTCTGTATGATTCAGGCCCTGTCCGGAAACCCCTATCACCAGCTGGACCTTTTCGAACCGACCGTCATACAACTTCCAATTCCGCCTACACTTTGGAAAGCCGCCAAACAAAGCCAGGAATTTAGTAGCTAAATTTTGAAAACTAATTGAATTTTACGCCAAATTAAACATCTATCTATTTAAAACATCCCTATCGGGTTTCAAAAGTCCTTCCCAAAATGTACGTATTTATTGCGCTTTATTGAACGTTCTCTCAAGCATGCCTTGTTATCGCCAATTTTTATATCATATCCGTTTATTTCCGTAAAAGAAGTTGGGAAAAAAAAGAAAAATGGAAGATGCGGACCAATATCGTGGGTACCCGAGGTGGGGGAGAAGACTGATGATAAATAACGAAAAACATTCACAATTTCAACAAAAAACGGCACCAGAAAACATACACAACAATGGTTATATAGCTCGAAAGGTGAAAGGGGCAATTTTGAGATTTCGTGGGGATCGGGAAGAATCAGGGGAAAATTGCGGTGTTCGAAAAAAAATACTGGTTAGCTTTAAAGTATCAAAATTGGTCGGGAGGGCAAGAAGGCAAAAACCGAGCAAATTAGGAACGGGGGTTCTTTGGTGACAACAAATGATGAGGTCGTGAAGAAGAGAAAGAAAATCCCGCTTATTCGTCCTTGATCTTGTACCGCGTCCACTTGATCAGCGTGGCCGGAGAGCGGAATAGGAAGATCAGCTTGGCGAACAGGTCCTGGAAAGAGTTTATTGGGCTTTGTTTCTGCAGGGATCTATTTTTCACCAAATTTTTTTTTTTTTCCAAAAAAAGAGGAAGTGTTTATTCACTGTTTCTACTATCTCTAAACCTACAAAATTTACGAATCTTGCGAAAGGTACGAAAAATATACAATTTCCGACGAAAAACGGTCGAAATTCACATTGAAGCGTACCTGTTCTAGGACGAAATCCTTGGCCTCGCGCACCAGGTAGATGTCGAGGCAGATCTTGAGCAGATGGTCCGGGTTCGGGATCTCGCTGATGATGACGTCGAGGGGCTGGTTGGTGAAGAGACCGCGCAGCACCTTGCCCACAACGATCACCAACGCCAGGTACATGGCGATGACACTGGAAATGAGCAATGCAATTCAGATTTTCTAGAAAAATGTAGAAATGCCCTAATTTCGAAATGTATATATTTCTTAATATTTCATTAATATTTCATTAATAAAGTCCGACAAAATGTTATGTATTTCGGCATTTTAACAAAACTAAGTGTTGTGTTAGTTGAAATCTAACCTAATAGAGCAACAGTTGAACTTCTTGTAAAACACGTACCCGCCCTGGACGTATTTGGCGAAGAAGGACGGGAACGTCCTATCGACGAACGAGACGAGCTGCACGTAGTCTTCGTTGCCCGGCCGGTAGTGCACCTTCTCGGCGGGCAAGATCAGCTGCGACGAGTTGATGCCAGTGGTGTTGAACGATGGGTTGATCATGTGCGCCGTCCACAGGAATCCGCCGCCGTCGCGCTTCTCCATTTTCAGGGAGATGTTCGCGTACGTCTTGTGGACGGTGGCGGTGTCGGGCAAATACTGGGCGAGCACTTCGAGTTGCACCGAGCTGGGCGTCACCTAAAATTGTGGGCCTTCAGCGTTTTCGTGAGTTTTCCGGAGCCCAAGATCCTGCAAAAACCGTTGAAAATGGCGGGAACAAGCCGAGAATTTAGCACCGAAAAAATGGTAAACTTGCCCGCCGCCCAATGGTTTCTGTGATTTTCTAAAAGTCACTAGCAAAAGGCAGACCCGGTGCGTCGTGAAGCAATTTTGGAAGCACACAACTTCCCCCACGCTCTTACCTCTCCCTCGTTGGGGACGATCAGGTAGACGGGGATGGCGTTCGGGACAATAACCTAAAGAGAATGAGCAAAAGGTCTTCAGCAAGTACCTCTCCGCCAGAGGACATTAGTGCCGCGACGAGCTGTTGCCTCGTGACCGAGTTGTTCGGCATTTTGTAGGAGAATTCGCCTATAAGCGAGATAGCTAAAAAACATATGAGAAACTGACTTGTATGCGTCACCGGCTCCTTGCTGCTGTCCTGCCGAGGTCTGGTGAACGAGACGCGAACCTAGGAAAAGAATAAATGTAGAGAGAATGCCATCAGGTACCTGTATCTCCATGTCGTTGGTCTGATTTTGGAGGGCAAATCGCATTGCTTCGAGAGACTCCTTGGAGATGTCCCACAGTTGCTCGGACTCGGGGCGGAACAGCACTTTCAGGGTGTCAGCGGGCGAGTAGTCGTCGAGGAAGGAGACGGCGCTGCGACTCTTCTGCACCGAGGAATCGTTGCCGGGGAGGAAGGCCTTGGAGAAGGACGTCTTCAAGCCGTCCAGCTCCGTGAACGTCAATGGGCGCAGTTCGTTGCCTTGGGCTTGGATGGAGTAGAGGGGCTGAAAGAGCATAAAGGTAATTAGTTAATTTGGGACGCTAAAATTGCAGCTCTTATGATTTTCGAATGTTTAAAAACAGTTTTCAAGAAATTACCGGATAACCCTCGACGGAGATCGTCATCTGTGCCGTATTCGGGGTTAACACCGTGCCGAGCCTGTTCAGCAGCGAGAAGGCGATGAGGGGACACCTAGAGAACTAGAGTTTGCGAGACAAAACAACCATACCAGATGATAATGACGATGAACAAAATCATCGGGATGCCCATAAGGTATTTGATCAACGAGCCCTTTGCTTCTCCGCGTGGTGCTGGGTAGCTCTGAAACTCCAATTCAGAACATCCGTGTCCCCCGTACCTGCTCAAACTGCCGGCCGCATTTCAGGTTGTAGATGGTCGAGTAGAAGTTTTCCATGTTGAAAAAGTCGAACAGCGGCATCGACGTGTCCGTCCAGGTCCAATCGATGGCAGTGCGCAGCTCGAACAGGAACGGCACCGCCATGAAGCTAAAATCCAAGTTTCAGTCGTAGCTCTAAACAGCACTCACATCTTGAAGAAGACCATGTTGGTCAGTCCATAAGCGTGCGTCAGAAGGTTTCCGATGCAAAGTGCCGGGTAGCCGTTGCGGATCTGCCAGGCCGACACGAGCAGGTAGATGCACTTGACAAAGTAGAGGAACGAGGCCATCGTGTTCGAGGCGGCGCTTCTACAAAAAGGCGGTTTTCATTAAATAGAATGTGGATCCCTACGTCTTGGTGATGGACGGGAGCACCAGGAAAATCCATACATGCATGAAGATGATGGTGACCAGTTGGTAGACGACCTTACAGTAGACAGCCTAAAAATAGAAGATATTTTGCCGAAAAAGGAGAAAAATACCTTTCTCAGGTAAAGCCCGCGGTCGATGACGATCATCAGGGTCAGCGAGATGAGCATAATCACAAAAGTGAGCGGAATACGGTTGGATTGAATGTCCGAGACGACATTGCCCGAGCCGCCCTCGCCGAAGGACGAGTAGCCGAACGCTCAAAACGAATTTTTAAAAAAACAGTACGAATCTCACTGATCACAAAGAAGCAGACAATGTCGAGCGCGAACATGAACGGGTACAGGTCGCGGATGTAGAAGAACTTCGGATGGAACAGCTGGGCGAAGAAGCGCGCAAACGGGTTCGTGGAGGTCGTTTGATCCGCCGATTCTGGAACGAAGAAAAAAAATGATAGACGCCAAATTTTGCAACCAACCTTCCTGCTCGGTGTTGTCCGTGTTCTCGCCATTTCGGTTGTCGACCGAATTCTGGAAAATGCCCGGATTAGGGGTGTTTTGGACGGTGGAAACAGATCAAGCAACGTCTGTTAGGTGACGCCAAACTTAGAGCCAACTTTTTACGGATACTTATATTTTTAGGAACCGTTATATTATATTCATGCACAATTTTTTAAGACAAATTTGGCGCTTCAAATGAATGATTTTCACAGACCCACCACGGATTATTCAAACGAAAAGATTTTGGGACACATGCTCAGATCGTTCGAGCAACTACGAGCTATGTATTTACCTCAAGGTACTTGTCAAAAGTGAACTTGATTGGGACCGACTCGCCCCGTAGCATCGCGCTCTGTTTTTTGGGGGTATTATTCTCGGTTGCAGCTCTAGATACCTGGATTTCCTGCGGGTCGATGTAGGCGGTGGTGTTGCCGGAGAAGGTGTCACTCACATTCGCATCTTTCCAGAGCCCAAGGCGACGGAGGTTGTAACTGAAAGTCGTAGATGAACAGGGACGAGAGAGGCTCGACAACGAGGTCAAGCAGGTCAAAATCCCACTGACCGATGGTAGAACAGGAAGATGAGCAGGAAAACGTCAAAGAACGCGTAGTAGTCCTTCTTTTGCAAGCCGAGGATCTAGACAAGATTTTTGAAATACGGTTCCTTTCTAACCTTATTCCAAGCATAAAAATCCTTTCCATTCAGCGTCTCGGCCGCTTCCGTGTTGAAATCGAAGAAGCGGAATTGGAAGATGAACTTGATGATGATCTACAAATAATGGGGGCTTTGTCTAAAGGAAAAATTACGTACGATCAACTCGGTGTACGCAATCAACACGATCCAGAACATTTTGCTGGGCCGCGGGTTGGAGAGGGTGCCCCAGAAGAAGACGAGCAGCGGCAAAGGCATTGTGATGAGGCCTAGAAAACCATAACAAGCTCGTTTTCAAGCTCCTACCGGCACATGCAGCATGTGCGAGGATCGCCAGTACGTAGCAGATCACATCCGTGTGCGCGTTGACGCAGTCGCCGAACGCGTTGAAGAAGCGGGCAATGACGTTGCGGCGCTGCCAGTCGAGAAGCGCCTCGTTTTCAAGCCTAAAACAGAAGAATAAAATTGGTTCTGTGAACAGTTTCAACTTGTCGACAAATCCAAACCTTTCAATATCGGTCTCGGAGCGCACGACGTGCAGGGCACCAACTGGCACAAGGTCTCGCAGCTCGCCCATATTTTTAGACGAATCGCACAGTGTTTGGCCGAACTTGCTCTTCAGCTCCTGCTTTTCCTTGCCCAGCACGTAGGCGACGTAGCGGTGCTCGCGGGAACGCCGGTTGAGGAACACGGCCATCCACTCCACCGAGTTGTAGACGACCTTGAACACGAAGCGCAAGCCGGCGTAGATGAACGATTCTGGAATAAGATTTTTAAAATGTCGGATTTCGGGCCGATTTGCCTCTAAAAACGCACCATCCTGCTTTGGGGGCTGCTCTGCGGGCTCCTGGGAATCGGCGTCGCCCGACTCGACAACGACGGGGGCCGGTTGCTCATCTTCGCTGACCGCCGCGATCATGCGCTGCTCGTCGTCCTTGATCAGTTCCGCCTTCTCCACCTGGCGCATCGACCGGACCATGTCGAGGTCCTTGTTGATGGCCGTGTGGACGAGCTGGAAAAGGGCAAGGTATCATAGTTTCCAGGAAACTACGGCTAACCTGCGTCGGATCAAGCCGCCGAAACTCCGAGCCTTCCGGGTCGACCTCGGGCACAAACGAGTCGATGGGGCGGATGAGCTCGTCGGCCTCCGGGTCATACTCGAACATGTAGTAGTCGCCAGCGCGTTTCGCTAAAAATAAAAAAATAAAGGCCAATATTTCAAAAATCGGTCAACCAAGCCAGTGCTGCTGGAAACGGAGGCTGGTAACGAAGTGAAAGGAGTATAGGTGGATGCGGACAGTCGGAAAGCTGGCCGGAAAGGAAAAGAAAGTAGAAAATGAGAGGTTTGGAATTCAGTTAGTCTCCACATGCACCACATGCACGGTTAGGTTATAAAAAAGACGGCCGTAAAATGTGGACAAGCTGAACGGCTTGAACTTGTCGCGATGAGGTGCGGCGGTATAAAATAATTCTGCTTCTGGAACCAATCAAAAACGCCCCCCAAAAACAGGCAAACCCAGGACACGACACAACGACAGAACAGAGCTGCAAAAAAAGAAGGCAGCCGCTTCGGGCAGCAGCAGCGTAGTGTAGCGGAAAGTGATGGCCAGCGGGGGTAGTAGTGGTGATGGCGGGGCGCGTGTGCGTAGGGTGTGCGTACGCGTACCCTTTCCATAGGTCAATTTTCGCACATCGTAGAAGGGGAGCGGGTCGTCCTCGTCGGCGTCCTTGGGCAGATCGTCGGCTTCCGGGTCGTCCAGCGGGGACGTCGGCTGGCTGATTGAGAGACGCCCCGAGCGGAGCGCTGAAATGACGACACAACGGTCACCGACAACGACACACATGCAAGGGTAAGACATTAAAGCACACGTTGAGGGAGTTTGAAGTGTGAACATCTACGTCTCTCTATCTCTCTTCCTCTCTGCCTCTCTACCTCTCTCTCTCTCTCTCTCTCTCTCTCTCTCTCTCTTCGTCCAGTCTCTCTCCGTAAATAGGTGCATACGTCCAACTCCTTAACGTGCGCTTTAAAGGTATAGGGCACCTAAAGGGCCAACTTTCAACCCTAAAATTACCATTCCTGCACGCCAAAAAAACCACAAAACGAGCAACACCATACAATGCACATGCCATAAACAAGTCTAGAGGATACGGTAGGTAGGTAGTAGGTAGAGTTAAAGGGAAAATGAAGAAGTCCTAGATTTTTGAAGCCTATCAGTAAGGTGAGATCACAAATTTGAATGGAGGAGCAAAGAAAACCAATGGAAAGACCCGAGAAGTTCGAGTGGCCGTCGAAACTCAACCCACCTTGTCCGTAAGTCTTTGGCTCGAAGGTGCGACCCCGTTCTTGCTGTCGTTTGTACCTAAAAAAGGCAAGCTTGCGAAGTGACGACGCCACGCTTACTGCTCCCGGATGGCCGCCGTGCGTTGCTTGATCTCGGAGACCTTTTGGTCTTGTTGCAGCTTCTGCTCCTTCATCTCCTTTTCGATCAGCTGGTTCGCCAGGACAGCACCACTAGAAAGTAAAGGGTATGTCCGGGTTCTAGTTTTTCAAAGGTTAGAATTTTATAAAAAAATAATTTTGAAGAAGTTTAAAATTGAACTCAATTTCTACTGGGAAATTTAGAAAAGTGTTTAAAAATCGGAAACCGGAAAAATTTAGTCGAAATTTCCTTTTTTTTAACTTTTCTAATACCCTTTTCAAAATAATTTTGCAAAAAATATCATATTCAAAGTTTTACGCTAGTAATCGCAAAAAAAGCTTCAAAATCATCGATTTTACGAAATCGCCGCTGAAACCCACCGATTAGCCAGCACGATCTCGGCGCGGAAGTCGCACATGGCATGCTGGAAGTACCATGAGTGGAAGATGCGCATCTGGAAGACGAGGAAGGCCAGCGCCAACGTGTCGAAGCCGATGCGCGTCTCCGCCGCCGATACCGGGCAGTTCTTGTCGAAGTTGACAGCTAAAATCGAGAGTTTTGAGTGATTCTGGAAGGCGCAACCCTCGGTGAAGAGCAAGGAGATGTCCTGGGTGGCCAGCGTGTTCACGCAGGTGACCGAGAAGATTTGGCGGATGATGCAGTTGAACGGGCCGGACACGTAGAACAAGTTCTCGAGGAACACGCAACCCAACACCTAGAAAATAAAGATTTGCTTTATTGCTCCGAATCAAACAGTCTTACCTGCAGGGAGACCTTGCAGAACATGGAGAAGACCGTGTAACCGAGCACGACCATAAATCTAAAAATTATTGACATAACTTCACAGTTATTTTTAATTCTTTCAACTCAAAATTTTTAATTCTTACTTCCGAATGGTCTTGTTGTGATCCCGCATGATGAATAGAGCATTTCCAGACCACAGGATCCAGAAAGCCAGGCACAAATAGCCGAGCGCGAACAGGGAGGTACCTAGAAATTCATGTCCTTTGAGGAGTGCCCAAGAGACTCACCTCCCAGTCCCGCAACCATCACCGCCACCAGGGTCAGCCACTGCGCGTACAGGAAGATGAACTTCTTGAAGTAGTCGACAAAGGAGCGTTGCGTGGTGACAAAGTCGGCACGGGGATTGGGCTTGAAGCTGTAGACGCCGTCCTTGTAGATGGACTCGTTGTCGCCGGCCGGGTGTTCAGCGGTTTCGGTGCGGAAAACGGCGGCCTGAAAGAGAATTATAATAATTGCCATGGTTAGAATCGGGATATTGACAGGGAAATTGAGAATAGGGAATTGGATGACGACTATGATAAGTACCTGGCAAGAGACGAAGAGCAGCAGGAAGAAATCGGCAAAAATGTTGGCAGACGTCCAGTGGATGTCGTAATCGGCCAATCCGAGCCAAATCAGCAGGTTCCTCGACTTGATAGCGTTTTCGAACAGCATCGACCATGGATAGGCTAAATAATAAAAACATTTTGGATAAGCTTAAAAAAACTTACGTATGCAAAGGCTGGGCGGGAATCCGACGTAGACGGCATATTGAAGCGGTAGGATCACCACCAGATAGAGCAGGAAGAGCGGCCAAATCCATCTGAAATAGCGTAATAAGATTGTAAGGCCTTCGCAAACCTGACAAGCGGCCGTTTCGATAGAGCGAAAACCGCGAGCCAAACCGTCGCGAGCGCGCCGAGCATATCCATGCGCACCCAGGCGTTGATGGCGATCATCACCAGACAGCACTCCAGCCCAAACTTGTAGAAGCCGAAGTCGGCAAAGAACTTGAGGCAATTCCACACGTTGTGGTCGTACGTGATCGGGTCGAGCTCGGGGAAGATGCGGTGCTGGAAAACAAAATAATTAACTCGTTTGAAAAATAAAAATTTACCCGATTTGCCGGTGGCTCGGAGAACCTGATCCGGCGGGCCCGCTGTCGGTAGATGACCACGGACTGGGCGGTCAGGGCAACGATGGAGACGACGAGGCCCTAAATCAGCTGATGGAAAAGAAAATTATAGCCAAACTCACGCCAAGCTCGGCAAACATTGAGCCCGTGTCCTCGTGCTTCTTGAAGCCGAACCATTCAAAGGGGGTCGGCTGCGGGTCGGAGGCGTTGCACTCGGTGCCGTTGCCGAACCACGTGGCGTCGATGAAGTTTAGCTAGAAAAATCTCAGGAAAAGATGTGAAAAATTTACCTGGAAGACCATCTTGGCCACGGCGGCCAGGGCGAGGTAGGTGGTGAGGAAGAGGCCGAGCAGTCCAGAGGCTCCGCGTGGTAGGAGGAGGCCGACGGCAACCAGGATTACCACCGGCACGTACATCGCGCAGATCTGAAGTAAGAATACGAAATTTAAAAAACTAGGCAAAGAGAACGAAAACATCATAAAAAATTTTTTATAAGACCCACGTTTTTGCTGGCTATGTAGATGATGATGAGGAAGACGATCTTGGCAATGTGCACCTCGACGGCCCGCCATAGCAGCTCAATGACGACTTCGGCTATCCGGGACAATCGCGTCGATAGGGAGACGGCTGAAAATCAGAATGTAGACGATTTTTTGCGTATTCTAGTTTTTCCAATTCAGGCGCTCTTTTTGTATATTTTGCAACCCTTTGAATGCACTAATGGATCTAGTGGTACCCCGGAATCGCTTGACGAGATTTTTCACGATGGCCCGATAGTCGGGAAGGATGGGAAGGTGGTCGGGGATGTCATCGTCCGATGCGTCAATATACGAGAGTCGTCCCTCGACATTCGACCAGTAGAGGGTGGGTGGAATGTCGCGGGTCGCATGCAGCAGCATCACCCAGGTCAGCCGGCCACCCGCATGGGGGGCAAGTCACTGATGCAGGGGCCGCCGACGAAGGTGAGTTGAGGGGGAGCTAGCAGTTCAATGAAAAAGAGCGCTGACGAGAAGGAAAAGTGAAAAGTAAAAATTCATGAAAGGAGGGTTATAGAAAATTACTGTGATATTTTAAAAAGCTTAAAAATTCCGTTGCTCTAAATAATAACGAGAACGTCAAGAACGGCAAGGAGGGAGCATGAAGAAAAACGTTTATAATTTTAAAAAGACGTGAAAAAGTTAGTAGCCAAAGGCACAATTTAATGCTTTTTCTTTCCTTTTGGTTGCTTGTTCTATTCAAAAATTAGAAAGTGGAGCTCCAGGAATGAACCAAATTCGCGAGGATAATTAAAAAAGTCACGTCTTTTTTAAGTTGAAATATGCTCAGATTTTTTTTTTATTCCTTATCCTTTATTTTTGTCGCTATTTTCTAGTGTTCCGTAAAAAAATACTCAAGAACTTGAGCAATACGCAAAATATCCGACGAGACAAAGAAATCCAAAAAAATTGTGAGAAAAAGTCAACCGCAAGAAAAACGCTGCGAAATCGGCGGTTGATCGCCGGGGGGTTACACACTATCAGGGGGCCAAGCAAGAGCAAAGCATAAAGGGAGAATCCGCGGGAAAAGCCTGGGCCCATGGCATGCCAGCCGGTATTGGCCGGCCAAGGGCCCGAACCGAGTTGGGGCGAAAAAGAAGCACCCGGAACACCTTGGTATTGTTTTTTGGGGTATGGCTGGCCCCGGGGGTTGATAGTGGGTAGAGTTATTCAAAACACAACCCATCCTGTCACTTTGCAAAGAGACTGGCAAGGGACGAAAAGGCTAGGGGAAAAGCGCCAAGAGGGGCATATGGGACAGCTGACGACAGCCATTGTTAGCCCATCGCACACACACATATACGCATTCTTTTTTGCCGGCTGGCTATTAGCCGTTTAGCGCAATAAAATGGGAAGGGTGTTACAGTGCGGTAAAACGGGTTTTAGAAAATGCAGTGAACGCCTTGAGCCTGTTGTCGGCCAGGATTTTAAAGAGCTTGGGAAGTTTTGATGTTAAATTCACAGATTCCCTTCGAAAGCAGAAAATTCAGAAAAATTGTCTTTTAAAGGGACAAACAAGGCAAACTTTTTCCGGGAGTAATTTAGCGCAGTCCTGAAAGACCATGGTCCAGACACTGCAGACCCAAAAGGCCAACCATTTCCTCCCATAACCAGCCGGGGAAGCCGACTTTGCATAAACAGAGAGTGACGCGAGTAGAAAAAGTTGCAAACTGAGGGGTTTGGGGAAGCCTTTTTGATTTTTGACCGATGAATGGTTTGTAAAATATTAATTTTAAACCCTAGCAACAAACCCGATAAACTCTCAATTTTTAAATATCTGAAAATCCCCTCCAATTTTTTCCAAATCTCTGAAAATTCGGCATTTTCGCTACTTTCTCGCTTCAAATTCTATCCAATTTCTTGCAAATCTTGTCAAATTTTCTTTTCCTTTCGGCTTCGCTTCACGGATTTGGGCAACGCCTAACGTTGTATAATTAATCCTTAAGATTCAGGGAGCACTTCAAAGAAAAAGCCATGCAAAATAATTGCATGGCAGGGAATGGACAATTCTGAAAGGAGCCCGACTACAGTAGCAAGCATTCGTGCCTGACGTCCATCGAAATGGCCAATTTGGGGGGGGGTGTGGATGGGTCAAGAAACAAGAAGCCGGAATAGTAGGGGGCGAGGTTCGGCATGGGGGGGGGATGGGAGCAAACGGCGGAAACCCGGGGCGACTGTCGGCCTGGTGGCCGGATTTCTGAATTATGGCTCTAGCCACAACAAACCGGGACTCACGGCTGGGCCAGGAAGCCGTGACTAACCAGAAACACCTCGAATAATAATCGAAAAGACAGGATGAATTCAAAAGAAATTTTTTTATTTTAAGGGCCAGCCCGAAAACTTAAAATTGTACCTGCGATTCTAGGTATGCAAAGCAATATACTCGGAAAAATCCAACGAGAAAACAAGACTAAACACATAATTTCCCAGGGGTGCAAAGAGGTGCTCAACGGAACGTCCAAACGTCGAAAGGTGTAAGAACGGGCCCGATTTCAGCTATTCATTGCCCGAAGGGGCCATTGGCAGCGCCTCAAAAAAATCGGCCCCAAGAGGTTCCGCCCGGGGAGAAGCCTCGGGAAATTATCGTTTTTCATGCCCTCGTCTTCGTGCCCCGACACAGGACGATTGACGACCTGGGCGAGGCAGCAGAGTTAGGCGCTTTTCGTGATTAAGAAAGTTTAGATAGATGTTAGATATTCGCGGTCCAAAACATTATTTCTAAAGTCGTATCCAAGTTAAGCTTTTTCAACGAGGGGCTCAAAAACCAAAAGCTCACGTGGTTGCGCTGAAGCGCCGGCCTGTGGTTCACCGCCTGCATCTGCGCGCACGGGCTGCACGGCATCGGCCCAGGGGTCGTGGAAGAACTTGAGCTGCAGCATCGTCACCACAAACAGCGAGATGGGCACGAGTAGACGGACAAAGAGCGATTTGCTGAAGGGGGAAATTGAGAAATTGCTAATAGAAAAATGTACTTTGTCTGATCATGGGCGTAGTGGATGAGGCCAATGTCGCGGGTCCAGCTGTCCGACCAACCGATTAGTTCAGGGAACTAAAAAAAGGTACGTTTAACAGGCAACGGTTATACAACTTCCGGTTCTTGCACAATATCGGGGGAGGCGTTTTTAAGCTTTTTCATTGCGATCAAATGTTTCTAAGATATTTTTTTAACATTCCTAAGCGCTAAAATTTACAAATTTTTAATGAACAATACAAAACTAGCGATTTTCGTGCAAAATATTCCACTTTTAAACATTTTCTTAAATTTTTTCAGCTTGGAAAAATTTTGCGAAAACACTAAACTTCTTCTCCCCACCGATATTGCACAAGCACCAAACTCACATTCTTGAACTGCCACACATAGATGGCGATGATCACGAGGGACGTGTAGAGGACGAGCAGCGACCAATAGGCGTACGCGGTCCCGCGGAAGAAACGGAACGAAAGCTGGAAAATGTTTAATTAGCGCGCCTGAGCGATAAATTGAATTAATTAGATCGGCAGACGATTTGCGGATGCCTCCAAGCATTTTATGACCACTTTGCCTGTCTCAAAAAGGGCTTTCCAAGGTCAAAATCGGCGCGTGAGGCCGAGCTCAAGGATCGTGATCAAATCGGGGATACAGCAGCTTTGTTCTCCCGCAGCGGAGATGATAGGGCATGGTTTGTTTCAGATTATATTGCCCCGGAAATTGAGACAAATTTGCACGAAAATTTTTCAAAATTTCGAATTGGCTAGAAAACGGCGTGAAAAATTTGAGATAAAGGAAAGCGTTTTTACCATCCTTTCGGCCACGAAAACATTATTCTAAAAAGGTTCATGCCTGGATTTCGTGAAGATAAAAACATGAAAAAAAACTTCCAATTAATGCCAGATGCGCCCACCTTGAACTGGAGCACGCCGAGGGTCCAGAGCACGAAGAAGCCGATGTTGATGAAGCTGGAACGGTCGGTGAGGGCCTGGAGGAGGAGGACAACGGCAACGAGCACGATCCAGTAGACGGTGAGCAGGCGGCTGAGCCAATTGACGGCAACCGCTGAGCGGGAGGAGTGCTGGAAATTGGGGTTTTTGAAGCCTAGATTTATCCCAGAAAATATCAGAATTCAAGCATTTTTAACCCAGGAGTAAAGTCGAGTCAGACGAAGAGAGCGAGAGCGAAAGAGGGAAAGTGGGAGATAGAGAGAGCGCGATAGCGCGAAAGGGGGGGGACACCTGTAGAGAGGGGGGGAGAGAAGTCGTTGACAAAATTTTTGATAGATGCTCGAGACAGTTGAAGACGGTAAAAAACCCTGTCGGGATTTTGAATCTCGATATTTTAGATATCGGTGTTTTCGCAATTCCCAAAAAATCCTATTACGGCGAGAGAACGGGAGAATAAAGAGAGAGAGATATCGCGTAACCCTATGACTAAACTTGGTGCATGTGCTCGAGGCCCTGGAAGGCGAGAAAATGCGCGGGGGCGCGCAAGGTCAAAGCCATAGAATTTTTCGGCTGCGCGCTGCATCACCACCGGCTGAGCGGCGGATGAACAAGGGGTGGGCACAAAAATAGGCACAGGCAGACATACTATATGGCGATACTTGTTTATTATCCAGCATTTGGGGAGGGGGCTGCCCTCACCATGGCACCCGATACCATCATCATCACCCACACCCCGGTCGCCCGGGTGCACCTGTTTGCGCGAAAAAAGTTGGGGTTCCAAAAATGTTCTGAATTCTGGGCCGGGAAAATCGCAGTGTCGCAATCCATTTAAAAGGGTTGCGTTTTTTGGATGAGGGATAAAAATAGCTGTAAATAAAGTATTTTAGGGCATAAAAAGTTTTTGATTTTCGACGCGCGATTACTTTAAAACTTTGGAAAAAACTTTCAAAGCACCAAAATTGGCCGCTTTTCACGACAATCTGTGGATTCAGCTATTTTTCTTTAGAGGTGAGATTAAAAACCACGTTATATTGTTTTTACGCTGAATCGAGCGATATTTTCAATCTTAAAATTAGCCTAAAATACTTTTTCCAGTAAAATTTAGTGGATAAAAAGTGTATAGTAAAAATAAACAAGACCAAAAGTGAAAAACCATTGTGGTCTGTGAAAAAGACGCTACAGCGAGCGAAATTTTCGAATTTAAAAATTTGCCAATAATACTTTTTCAACTATATTTAAAGGGGACAAAGGGCATATTAAAAAAACTAGACTAAAAGTGAAACACCCGCGGAGAGAAATACCGCAGTCATGTGTGTTTGTGGGAATGAGACGTCGAGATCTAGGACAAATCGAGCCATCGATGATCCGGAAGAGGAGTCGGGCGAGATTGATTCGTGGCGAGGATAAACGCGGCCGTCAGCCGCCGGATGCAAAAGCAAAAACCGGGGGATTCCAGGCGCGGGGAGGCTGATGATGGTAGAGGAGGGGAAGCCGAGGGGGAGGCGGAGGGATCTGACGGGCAGTGGATAAACATCACACGACGTGGAAATAACCAATCCTCGCCTGCCCGCCTCGCACATTGCGCCCAGGGTGTATGTGTTTGTGGTGTGGTTGATGTTGTGGCTGCGATAGATCAGGGGGAAACGGTGCTCCTGGGCAAACAGAGGCGCGCGCAAAAATCGGCATCGCCTTCCGGGCGAGACATCAAATTTTAGGCGATTTCGGGGTGGGGGGGATGAGTCAGCGATGCCAGATGTCTAGCGAAAAATCTTAGAAAAACATTTTCACAGGGCTACCGAAGGGAGCGGAAAGTGCCCAAGCTGAAATTACTGCAATTTGAATCCCTCTAAAGGGACCGGGAAGCCATGGATTTCTTCGCGCAGATGATACGTGCGTAACTCTTGCTTTTCCATTGCGTAATGGATTCAAATCTAGCTAAATCCATAGCCTTGTCCCCCCTTTCAAAACGTTATAATTTTACCGAAAAGGAGAGAATCATAAATTTTTAAAATTATGAAAATTTGACGACTCAAAATCCATGGTCTTTCCTTGCGCGCTAAAAGAGGACGTACAAAATAGCAAAAACACCGACTCATGCCTTACCTGCCCCTTTAAAAACGTCTTTAAAATCCTAGAACGAGTAAAAGACAGTAAATAGCGATCGGAAAAGCCGACGAGTTGTTGCAGAAAAAGAGAAGAAGAAGACAAAGTCAATTTTACCTGGGTCTGTGCACTCGCGCTCACCGACGGCCGATGACTGCCAAAGGTACCGTAATTCAGACGGCGCTGCTTCTCGTGCTCTGAAAATAGCCGATTGACAAACAAAAGCAACCGTCTAGATTTCAAAAATTCGGGCAACGATCTGGGACAATCGATTTGAGTCATTGTCAAACAAAAGCTGGACACAGGGACCAACGGCGACCGCCAAACGAACGGGGCAACAACTCACCGGTCAGTCGGCTGTAGTAGACGTCCCGACGCTTGAGGCGGTGGAGCAAGAAGATCGGGAGACTGAGAATCACCTGGAAAAGGTGAAACTTCGTTTCCAAGCCTAGACCAAAAACCAACAGAGTTTTAAAACGGGAATTTTTCAAAAGCTCTTCTTTTCTTTTCCAGGCCAAGATTAGCTCCTCAAAACACCCCCACAAAAAGCCAATTTCCAAAATATCCCCTCAAAGCCCTTGGAATCCAGTGAATCATCCAATCTGCGATTTGCGGCCGACGCCGACTACGTAAAAAGTTGATTACCCACGATTTCGCCATTGACAGCCGCGGCCCAAAATAATTGAAACCAGTTCTCCGACCCGGGCGGGGTAAAACGTGAACCAGTAAAACGGTAAAAAGTAAAACCAGCATCCGCTTCACCCAGGTGTCGGTGGGAAAATCACTTTGCTAAAACGTACCTTTACAAAAGTGACGATAAATACGTCCGATCCGGTGTATTTGATAAAGCCGATCATGGCCAACACGTCAGCGGTGCCGCCCTCGACGTTGACGGTCGGCAACACGGGCAGGTCCATGCTCCAGATGTATTGGACGACGAGCAGGAACTGAAAATGGGTGGGTATGAAGAGGCCAAGATTGGCTATCATAATGCCCGAATTTCATAATGTCGATATTTCTATATGCTGAAATTTGGCTTAGAATTTGGGGATTTTCGGGAAAATTTGTCTGAGCTTTTAAACAATAAAATTTCGGCATTCTAAAACAAGCCAAATACCACTCGAAGGCCTCACCTCGACGTACGCCAAGATAAAGGGCGAGCACGTGAACGAGACGTTTCTCGTGTCGCGGAACATCCAGATGATGCAAGCCCAGGCGAGCAGCGTCAGCCCGAACGTCGAGTGGTACAGCAGGGCCCATACCTGCAAAGATGTGTGTAATTTTGAGTTCCAAGAAAAAATCTGACCATCATCGCCATGAGTCCAAAGACGTAGGAGTGCTCGACGAAGAAGCCGATGGCGGTGATCAGGCCCTGCGAAGCGGTGCCTTGACGTTCGCCGGGGGCTGAAACAGAATTAAAAATATTAAAGTAGCCACTAGAGAATAATTAAAATTAAACAAGATTATTTCCGAAATTTCGGAAAGAAATTCGAGAAAATTTTCATTTCAAGATCGGCCAATTTGACAAAGAATTTGTATTTTTGCAAACGTCTCGGAATACGAAAAATAGTATATAAACAAGGTTTCTATCATATAACAAAATATAAAAAATAGTGTTTGTGTGTGTGTGTGTATATTTGCTGCCTCCGTTTGGATGTTCCGCCCTCAGCCTCAGGGCAATTTCGGTAGGGAAGAAACGTCATAGGGTAAAGAAGGGGCCGGAATCGACTGCACACACATACAATTTTTGAAAAATTGTGGTTTTCGCTATTAAAAATAGGTTTTTGTAAAGTTTTCGGCCAACCTCTTTGTTAGGAAGCAATTAGCTTACCGCGGAAGTGGAAATGGTTTATAAAAAGGAAGAGAGGGCGCGCTTTTCATTTTTGGTGAGCGGTTTTCGGCAAAAATTATGCAAAGTCAATGCTTCATCGATCCTAGACGGGGCCAGGGTTGAAAAGCCGCGAAGCGGTTTTTCAACCCTGGTCATATAACAAAATTGGATTGACCTGAAAAAGTCCAGGATATTGCATAAGGCCGAAAAAAACTTCTTATAACTTACAATTAAAAATGTGCGAAATCTTCTGCTTGTCGATGATCTGGCTGGTGATCTTGCGCATCGGCACATGTTCTTGCGGACCCACGCGTTCCTCCGTGTCGAGCAGCTATAAAAAAAGAGTGTCCAATGCATCCAAAGATTTTCCGGAAACTTGTTAGTAGCAGTGGGCTAGCAAAAACGAGGCCCAAAGCGGAACTCCCATATAAAATACAAAAATCATGCTGGGCAACAAAGCCGTGCGTTTTTCGCCGGCGCTCTCAAGCATTACCCTCGGGGGCGAGGCGTTCGACGGGCCCGGGTTAGCTGGTGATGTGCTGCTCGATGATGAGCCGACGAGCGTCGTCTCCGTGCCGCGTTCGACGACAAGCGGGTGCTAAGCCAAGGCATAATTTCGAGATTTCAAAAATCGCCCTTTTTGTTAGGTGCAGCGGAGAAAGCGTGTCGAAAACGGATCGGCCCTTTTACTTTTAGGCAACTTTTACTAGTAGAAACTTTAAACTAAATAATTTCCTACTAGAAAAAGGTGTGAAATTACCATTATCAATTTTTCAAAAATTGACCGATCCTTCTTCAAATAACCTTCCCTGTTCGCCACCAGCCAAACCCCAGAAAAAGCGGTTAGCAGAAAGAAAGTAGTGACAGCCTCGCTCCACTTACCTCAACCTCCGAATTCGTCTCGTGCTCACCGCCCTAAGCAAACGGAAAATAAATACCCCCGGCTAGCTTCCGATTAGCCCAACAGAATGACGTACGAGAGATAGCCGAAACAAAACGAGACAAATGGCGTGTGTCTCGCGGGTCAGGGAAATGAAGGAAGCGCCTTTTAGCCTGCGTCGCCCCGAGCGCAAAAATAATATGGCTTCAGATAGTTTTCGGAAAAGCTGCTAGGGATTCATCTCTACACTAACCTCTTCGTGAATCGAAGAGCCGGTGTCGTCATCGTCCAAATAGTGGCGCGTCCCGTTCCTCGTCCAGCAGAGCTGGATCACGAGCAGGAGGTAGAAAACGATAATCTATTTTTAGGTAATTTTGAAAAATGGTTATTCGTCTACCACCAACGGATTCAAAGCAACATTCCACGTGATTTTGTCGTTGACGTAGACGTGCATCGAGTCTTCGCAATCGGTCTTTAGCACCGAGGAGAGGCCGATGAGTCTGGAAAAGTGGCTTTAGACGATAGGATAAACTTAGAAAGATAATAAATTTCGGAATCTCTTGCTACCTTGCCGCTGTATCCTCTTCGGGGAGCAATTTGGATACTTCCGGAATCTGGTAGGTGTAGACGATGATGAGGTGCGCCGCGCTGTACATTAAAAGTCCCTAAAACACATGAATCTCTTCTTGAAAGACCCACAATTTTGACGCGGTTGTACACAGAGTGCTTGATGCCCTTGTATGTCGACCACCAGGATGCCATTGCCATAAACGTGAGGAAGTAGACGCTGTTCAGCAGAGAAGGCTGATCAAAAAGTTTCAAATAACTCTGGGGGATTACCTGGATGCAACCCGCAAAAGCAACCAGAACAAAAAGGACGGCATTCGAAAGGCGCTTCAGGGCGATGAGCAGTGCCCGGGAGAACGCTTCGATGTTGCTCTTTTGCGTGAGGTGGCTAAATGAGATTTTTCACTTTGTACTTTGTAATAAAATTTCAAAAAATTTGGATTGACCGCTTACCTGCTACCGCTTCTCACAACGTGTACGCTAGCGGGGTGCTCAACAAATATACTGTGTCCCATACATTGCACCACGATCAGGTTCAGGAATGCAAAAGCTAAAGATCGTTGCTAATTCTGCGGACAAAACGAACCAAATGCAATGACCTCTGGCATGTAGCCGCGGATGGTGTCGAAGCCCATGTTGCTGAAATGCCTGAAAAAGATTGCTTCCAAAAAAACCGCCGCTTACCGAATAAAGCCAGCTTGTCGTAGCCAGCGATAAAGCTCGTCATCGCAGTCGCTAGTGCTCTGTTGGCCGTCCTGGGCTCCAATGTAAATCTGAAACCCAAAAATCCTAGTTCTTTCCAGTACCAAACCTGAAATGCGATTTGTGCAAAAGCAGCAAGTGTTGAGATCAAGAAGGCGAGGTACGCGTAAATTTTTGCCGGAGCTAAATTAGGCGATATTTTCAGGAATTTTCCTCAAAAATACCATTTAAAGGCGTTCCACCCGTAGTCGAAGGCAATATCGGGCCCACGAGAGCCAAAATGAGGTAGATCAGCGACAAAAATGACGGCCGAATGAAGGCGGCGATGACCAGGGCTGCCGGGAGCAAGCCCCGGTAGGCGATCGTCTTCAGCGCTGGGGACACCATATCAAGCCATATTCCTTTGAGATACCCTGAAAGCAAAGTGTTGCGACAATTAGGATGCCCAAAAAAAACAATTTTCTATCGATAGAGACAATCAAAACCAGACCGGAAGTCGTTAGAGGTGGTGGTGGCTTGGGTTTGTTAGTAGGGCTCTCCATTTTCCAATTTTACAAGGGTCTCAGCATTGGGCTAGTGCCAAAAAGTTCGGATACAGATCCAGCTAGAAATCGGCTGCCCAAAAAGCAAATAACAGACTGTCGGCCGGGCCGCAAAAGGAGAGCCCTGTTCGCTGCGCTGAGCCCGGGCAACGTGATTCACAAAACAAATTGACTGTCTGGCAGGCAGATTTTTGCGGTTGAGAGAGGCAGAGAAAATGGTTTTTGTTTTGGTCATGTACATGTGATAGGCAGGAGTCAACACCTAATTAGGGTACGGAGGTTCGGGGCACATCGCCGGGAACACGACCCGATAACGGTGAGCGGGATCGATATCGGATCGCTAGTTTTCTGGATGGATGCGTGCAGCAGGGCCCCCGTGTACAGGCGGCCGGGTATTGACAATGTGCTTGACTTCCAAATCATTCACGACCGCCGCATGATTGCCTTTTTAGCTTTCCCCGCATGACGCTTCCACAGGGACGTAGCGTAAGGTGGGCCCCCTGGCCCGGTGCCCCCGAAATCGGCCGGGGCCCAAAAATTTCATAAGGGGACCCTTATGATTTTATTTTCTAAAAATTTTGCTGCCTGGGCGCCATTTTTCACGTTTCTACTGCATTTATAGAGCTATGTTGCCTTTTTTCCAAAATTTTTCGCCGCGGCGCGTTTTTCGTTAATTTTTTGAGTTTTCGGAAAAAAATTTTCGGGGCCCCGAAATTTTTTTCTGGCTACGCCCCTGCCCTTCCATATAGCTAAAGAAAAGGCATGTGTTCAAAGCTTGCCCACCTTGAATTCGCGCTAATGATAAAAGCGATATCTAAATTCTTCTTTCTCCCCCGAGCCCATGCAACGAATTCACCAACTTATTGTGGTTTTCGCAGTCTTTGACCTCTCAAATTTAAACCTTTTTGAGCATTCCAAAAATCCCATTGTGATGACTCAGTGCTGGGACGCGCCCGAACTCCCGAGGTTTTTACAAGATAACAGCTTGAAGCGATAAAGTATTCCTCGAGTTTGGTACTACGAGTCTTTTGAACCTAAGGAGAGCGCCTTTCAACTGGTTTTTTCGTAGGCTCGATTTCTCTGTCGGTGATGGCATGGTTGGCGCTGAATGGGGCCGATGACCAAATGCCTGACTCAATGGGAAAGACGCGGATCCGAAATTGCTTTTTGTTTCGCAGCACGGTTTCAAGGCGAAATACATGGATTTTACAAAAAAAGAACTAACAAAGGTTTTGTTAGCGATAAACAAAACTTTTAAACTAAGCAAACGAGAGGCTCCACTTGACGCGGATGTCAAATAACAGCGAGTAAACGGTTGCGGATTCCGAAATTGAATTTTTTACTTTTTTTTTGTTCAAACTTTTGCTAAATCTAGGGTCCTTTAGTATCTAAAAAATTGTTATAATATAAACTCGGTTCCGGAATACATCGCAAGCTAGAGGATGCATCTTCCGATTCCGATTCAATGTTACAAAGCTTTTCTCGCTGCAACAAAAATGAAAAACGGGCCCCTACGGCCCGGCCTAGTGATAAAAGCGGAAGTGTGTAAGGTGGTAAATAGACGAGCTATTGGCCCCCTTCGGAAAACAAGCCCGTCTACTCGTCTGGTCATAGAAAGTGGCCCCTTGGCGGGAAGGACTTTGCCTGGCCCCCTTTCAGCCTCGCTGTTTTATGTCCTTTCGACCCTGGTTTTTGCGCAGCGCGCGTGTAAACTACCTTTGTTCGCTACCTGTCCGGGTCAGCACCGTTATCTTTCCGATCTTTCTTTTTTGAAACTATTTTTTTTGTTCAAATTTCGTAATTTCAGGCGTAGACTTGGTAATGGGTGATCATCTGAAGCAGGACTCGCATATCGACGGTCTTCAGACACATGTCAAGAAGCGGAGGGTAACTCTATTTAGATTTTTCTTTCATAGAGAATTCAGGATGATATTCCTGGGTTGCGGCTGGTGATAGACAAAACTTGGCATGGAAATCCGACCGATCATCGACCAGCCGAGATCCAACTAGGATGGAAATTTGAGAAGATCCCTAACCGACCTCATAAACGTGTTGTCACGGTGGAATTCACGGTATGTTTAATTCTCTTTTTTTTAAAGGGAAAGCCGCTTGCTTTTATCGGAATTTTTCAGACACCTTTCTACGATGATCCCGAACCAGAGATGATCCCTGGGATTACTCCAGAGGTTTATTTAATCTAATCCCTAACGAATTATTTTAGTTGACCGATTACGAGTGCATGATGCTGATTTTTGCGAATGAGAACAATCACTACTTGGAGGTGATCGTCGGCCCGCATGGGCACTGGATCTGCAGGCTCTATGACGGCATTGGCAACTGCTTCAACAATGGTAATTTATTGAATATGTTCTTGAAAGTTGACCCTTTAGGCGAAGAGCTAGAGCTGGTGGTTCACAACCAATGGGTCGGCGGCGATCTTTGGAATTGCAGTTTCGAAGTACCTTTGGCCTACTTTCCCGCAAGTTCGTTTTTTTGAGAAGAGCGTTTACTTGCAAGTACTTTGAGTCACACAATTCATAATTTTTACAGATATCTACAAAATGAACGCCTTCACCCTCCATGGGCCCGAAGAAGAGCGCGTGATCGAGGCGTTGCGGCCGGTCAGCGATGGAAACGATGAAACACCGGATTTTCATAGAATCGAATTTTATAAGTACGTTTTATCAAAATTCAAAAATGTTTTGTATAGGAGAATCGACAAGGCAAAGTTCATCCCAATGCCCTACGGCGGAATCCCGTTCAAGGACTGGAAATACGGCGATCTCTGGGAAGGCCATTATTGATCTACAATTTAATGCGATTTTCTAACGGGTACTACCTTTTTTGTTACTTCACCTTTGATTACTCTCACCGTAACTTTGCCATTATGTGTATTTATTTTCCCCGTTTGTTGCTGTTGTGGGATGGGGCGACTTCGAATTGTCTCTTTATTGCGAACTCATTTTGTTGACGTTGAATAAGAAATTTTTCATGAACGGCCATTGTGAAAATGCCTAGTTTATATCACAGTACATCAGAGTCGGGCATACGAGGAGACACTGGGGTGATCGGATGAAATTGGCGAAAGACGAACGTTAGTTTTTGTTTGAAGGAAAATGGTGGCATTGGCGCATTTCGGATTTGACAGATTAGATTGGTTTAGCACATTTTGCAGTGATAGTTGAGGAAAATGAGGCACACCGCCATCCCGCCCACCGACAGCGGGATTATGACGAGCAGGACGATAAGAGAAGAACGTTGATTCCGGACGCCTTCCTCACCCTAAATTGCGTTTTCATTACAACAGAGAGACGGGGGTTATAGGCTGTACGGCCAGGAAATGAAGAATGTTCCCGAATCATCAATCCTTGATAGCAAGTAGCCCGGAGGTGCGATTAAAAAGATGAACAGAATTTTGAGTTAGATGTTGTTTGGGGGAAATAAGCCGTGCTGCTAGGATTTGTGCTCTCTCACCTTTGTTTTATTAGGCTCTTGCTGTATCGTATGATCGGTTTGGGGAAACGACACTTGGACTAACCTGATGCACCGGGTGCATCGGATCACTGTAGGTGAAGACGGCTTCGTCGCGGTTATTTGGCGCCTCGTCGAGGGACGTACGCAAATAGGCGAATGTGTTGCAGAAATCTTCCGTACAAGTGCACATCTGAAATTTGACATTTTCTTTCGGCTAAAAATTTTGGAGTTTTTTGAGTAGCTCCAAGGTGCAAAATTAAAACTTTTTTTGTTGTTTATTGATTTGATGCGCTGAGTCCAAATTTACCCTTTTAAATAAAAAATTTAAGTTAGTCTACTGCTACCAAAAAAAGTAAAAACTTGAAATTGAAAGCGTTTTTCACGTGTTTGGTAACCTTTCGTAGTTTGTAGTGCAAATTTAAGTTTTTCTAGGCTAAATTGTGGTTTTCTAAAAGTGTGAAAAGCGAACGTAAGAGGCGCCCGAGGTCTGGGTATCTGGATATCTTCAAAAATCTTGTAACTTCGTTTCTGTATAAAGATTTTCTCATTTTTTTGCTGTTCTTTTTCAGAATTTACTACATGAACTTTTTCAGATGGCCGCCATGCCCAATGCGCCTGCCACTTTCAAGCAGAAGCTCGCCGTCGCTCACTATGTATTTCTGTGGCTAGTCTGCCCGATCATGTCGCTGTAAGAATTTGCCTACGCGCATGATTTTTCGTTTTAGATGGGTGCCCCTCTACCTGCTAACTACGAACATCTGGCCGCTGGTGCTGGCCTATTTTGGCTGGATGTTCCTCGACTACTCGACGCCCCGGAAGGGAGGAAGGTCTTGGGTTTGTTCCATTTTTATAACAAAGTTTTGCTTTAGAAATGGTATCAGCGCCTTTCTCTATGGCAGCATTTCCGCGACTACTTTCCGTTGCGAATGGTGAAGACAGCTGACCTGCCGGCGGATAGGAATTATATTCTCGGGTACTTTGAGAGATTCGGCGCTGAATATTTCTGTATTTAGGTCTCACCCGCACGGCGTTCTGAGCTTTGGGATCTTCGGCAATTGCCTGACAGCAGCCAGCGGGTTCCGTGAACAATTCCCGGGAATTCAGCCTTCGGTCGCCACCCTTGACGGTCAATTCAAATTTGCTTTGCGCCGCGATTTTGCGATGGGCATGGGTAAGCAAGGTCTGATGACTTTTAAAGAATCTTAGGAGGTGTCTCGGCTGCTCAAGAATCAATCTCGTGGCTTCTGCAGAACCCCGGCAAGGGCCGTGCAGTGGCTGTGGTCGTTGGTGGGGCCGAGGAGGCTCTCGAAGCCCGTCCAGGTGCTACTCGTTTGCGTCTTGTCAAGCGTTACGGATTTGTGCGATTGGCTATCCAATATCAGTAAGCTTCATTGGAGTCTGGACATTTTTTTAGTTGCCAACTGGTCCCTGTTTACCACTTTGGCGAAAACGATCTCTATGGTGATAACGGGACCGAGGACAACACTCATCTTCGCAGCTTGCAGGTGGCAGAAAAATTTGCGTCTTTGTAATGTGTTTTAGACAAAAATCAAGTCCGTCTTCGGGTTCGCCCCTCCACAGCTCCGCGGCACCGGTCTCTTCACCTCCTTCGGTCTCCTCCCCAAGCGCCGCCCGGTCACCTCGGTCTTCGGAAGCCCCATCGAGTGCAAGGTACTTTTGGCTTCATTAGCCTTATTTCCGAAATAGGTTCACGGCCACGAATATGGCACCACCCCCGATTTGGCAGATGTGGAGCGCGTGCACGCCACCTATTGCGAGCAGCTGAACGAGCTGTTTGAGACGCACAAACTTGGTCACGGCTACTCGGAGGAGGCCAAGCTTGAATTCTTCTAGACTTATGGTATGGTGCAGTTCCATTAATTTTATTTTCACGTCTATGGTTCTTTTTGCTATGCCTTGTATATACTTTTTGCGGCCATGAAAACTACCCGGGTAACTTCTTACGATCTGTGATTTCGACTTTCTCATCTTGCTGCCAAATGTCCTGTGATGTGTATGTAAATACGGGCATTACTTTGCTACGATAAACTGGAGATTTTCCATAGTTTAGGGCTTCGAGGACCACGTTTAGGCATGTGTAAGAAGAAAGTCTTCATAGGTCACCAACCTCTTGCCAGCTATCAACGAGCCGCTCGCAGTTATTCCTGCCCTTGCTGCCATCGGCCTCTGCGCAGAGCTGGTGCAATACTGTGGCGTCTCCTGGAATAGGCTCACGATATTTTCCCACGCTAAGAAATTGTTATCCCCTTGCAACTTTTTTGGGGTGGCCCTTCTCCCATCGTTGCGACACCAGATTCACGGTCTGCTGGAGGGCCGAATCGAATTTATCTCTGTGGCCAAATTCGGCGAAAGAGAGGGTCGGGACTCCCGTCACGGGCGCCGAACACGATGCGATTAGCTGCTAATTCCGAGCTTCTCCCCCCTACACACGCGCACCCCGCACCGGCAAGCATCGCGCCTATCCGGCACCAAATTGCGGGGCCTCGAGTGGCCATTTCGGAATTGCGTGCCTCGTTGACTCGGTAAGTTTTTGGCGAGTGCGCGGGCGACAGCTCACAAATTACCGGCGGAAACCGGGCATGCATTAGCGAGCGCGGCAGTTATTTTGGCAGGGGCCTCGCTAGGGGAAAATTGGCGGGTCGGCATTCTATTTTAATGCTAGAAATTTTTGCTTCTAACAAACTTAGGAGTTATATTTAATTTTGAAGCAGAAAATAGTTGTAAGTTAATTGTAAGTTTACGGTAGAAAAATCGTAGGAATAAGCTTTTAAAATATTTGTGTCAGAAAACCGAGACCCCGTGAGAAGCCTAACGCGCTAAAAATATAGTTGTTTTTCCATCTACAAGAGTTTACGTTCAGGCGCGCCCCTGCATATGAACCCAGGGCTCCGAATGAGGTGTAATTGAGGGGAATCGCCCCCGCGGTGAGTTCTGAGAACGACGGGTATCCTGTTATGATGCGCGGCGACGGGTCCGCCAAATGGAGTTATGTAAATGGGCCATAATCATGCCCGTCGCGCGAGTGGGGGATATCGTGAACACATTCAGGAATTGAATTTTGAGCGTTTCGAACACCTCTGGCGGTTAGGGGTAGTGTCGGACAGCACCCCAAGAAACGCACCCCGGGTGCCTTTGAAACGCACCCCGGGGGGTCTTTGAAACGCACCCGGGGTGCCTTTCAACGCACCCGGGGTCTGTTTGAAACGCACCCCGGGGTGCGTTTGAAAGACACCCCCTCTCCGTCCGGGGTGCATTAATAGTGTCCCCGGGTGCCTTTGAACGCACCCCGGGGTGCCTTTCGGGGTGCGTTTGGGGGTGTGTTTTGGGGTGCGTTTCGGCCCCACAGGTGGTAAAGAATCGCAAGGCAAGCCGATAAATAAAAGTTTTTTTGGCATAGAAATATTACAGATATGTTTTACTATGTTTTCTATACAGAATTGATGCCATCCGACGGCTCCGCTTTCAGTAAGATATATTTGATAGGCTGTGTTGTAGTTTTACACGATTTATGGTACGATTTTCACACTTTATCGGGGCTTAAAATGTTTTTACTCATGCTTTTGTCAAAAATTATGGAAATTATTGACGTGATTTTCAGAAATGGAACAGATAACAATTAATAGGATGTAACTGGAGTATGAAATAAGGCAAGAATAGCATATTGAAGGGTTTTATAAGGTTTTATAAGGGTTCTGTAATATTTCTATGCCAAAAAAACTTTTATTTATCGGCTTGCCTTGCGATTCTTTACCACCTGTGGGGCCGAAACGCACCCCAAAACACACCCCGAAAGGCACCCCGGGGTGCGTTCAAAGGCACCCGGGGACACTATTAATGCACCCCCGACGGAGAGGGGGTGTCTTTCAAACGCACCCCGGGGTGCGTTTCAAACAGACCCCGGGGTGCGTTTGAAAGGCACCCCGGGTGCGTTTCAAAGACCCCCCGGGGTGCGTTTCAAAGGCACCCGGGGTGCGTTTCTTGGGGTGCTGTCCGACACTAGTTAGGGGGGCTTGGCAGGAGCGCGGCTAGCAGAAGAGGTTTTTTTATAATTTGCGATGCACTCGACCCACCATCTTTCCTCACGCCGATCACGCAATAGTCGCCGCTGCAGATGAGCGCGTCCTGGCAGCTGGAGCGATCGCAGAAGCACTTGACGCCGGCTGCTGAAATGACTGTTTTTAGTGCCGCTTAATTTTTTTGTTTCTTTCGCATTATCGGGGGGGGGTATTCCTTTAAGGGCAGCTAAGCCTATTAATGTATGAGCAGAGATTTTGATGGTTTTTTAGTGCAGGTTATCCATCTTTTAATCGGAAAAACTGTTAGGAAAATTCAGAAAAATTCTCCAACGCCGTAATTCTGGTTCAAATCGTCCAGTTTGATTGGAGATTGATATTTTTTTGCATGTTTGATAAAAAGATGGTTTGGGTTTACGCTAAGGAATAACAAAACGGCGTAGAAACAAAGAATTTTAGAAAAATTTGGTCCTAGGAGTAAAAAGTTCATTTCCGATGACGTCCGATGACCCGGATTATGCGAAATTTTTGATTTTTTGAAAAAATTTTTTTTTGATCCGAACACCCAGCACAAAACACTTGTTTTCCAAACCCCCATCCACCCAGCGATTTCCGGGATGCCGGTTCAAGCACCCTCACCAGCCCCGAACAATTCGACACACCCTAATTACTGGGGGGCGATGTGGCCCCGAATTCGGAATGAGCGATCGTCTTGCCCCCGACGGCCAAGACCGACACGCGAATAGGCCCTACTGCCCCCCGGAAAATGGCAGGCCCCGGAATTGGGGCTCGAGATGCTCGTTTCGGCGAGCTCCCCCTTGCTTTAGGACCCGTCGTGGGATTGACGTCTTCATCTCGCCGAGGTGGCTAAAAACCGCCAGAAAAGCCGTGGGAAGTGGAATTTGTTATGTGGGAATGTTGGGAGGGCCACGATTTGGAGTCGGGCAGGTTGGGAAGCGAAAAATAGCTTTACTTTCTAATTGGCTAGAAAGTGTCAGCAGAGAAGCATTTCCGGGGTCTTTTGCATTATAAGGGGGCCTCATTATTAAAAAACTTTTTCCTTAGAATTCAATTTTTCTGACATAAATAATGCCGTTTTTCTACACTGTTTTTTGAAGATTCTTGAAAATTTGATATCTTTAATTCAAAAATGCTAAATAGATAATTTTTGCCATCTAAGATAGCTTATTTCCAGCAAAATTTGAAATTTTCGTACATTTTCTAAGTTTTATAGATGGTTTTTTTCGCTCGAAATATAACCAAAATTTACCCAAAACGCTATTAAAATGCAATTTTAAGATGAACTTATAGGAAAAATTCTGAACGTGCTCCCAATGCGAATGAACCGGAAGCCAAATTTGGAAACAATCGTACGGTTTGAATTACGGTTCTTATCAATTTTTTTAGGTTTAGCGCTAAATTCCCCCGACCCGGGGGGTCAGTGGCATAACCTTGGCGCGTCCGGGGCGACGTGCTAGCGCTAAAAGAATCCTTTTTCACGCCATCCGGCCCCGGGTGAGGCGATCGAATTTCCGAATTCAAAAGGGAGATTGGATACTGGGGTGGTGTGGGCTGGGGGCTTTATGCCGTGAGCGCAGACCGCGCATCGAAAAGCACAGCCACGCCTAGAAAAAGTTATAGCTGTGTATAACTCGTTGGAGGTTTAAAAAGGGCGTTATTTCGAGGCCGCTAAACGGCGCTAAATAAGGGTTGGCTAAAAAGGTTTCTGGACTAAATTTTATGCAGTTTTGGCTGCCGGCAAAGAGCGCAAAAAATCGTTCTGTCAAGTGGAACGGTTCGTAGCCCAATTTAGGGGTACGCCACCCGCCAAATTACACGTAACCCTGTGGTTTCCCGAGATCTTCGGCTTTTCCTCAACGTACCAATCGGACAAAACGCGGCGGCGATGATGAGCAGCAGCTGGGTGAGGTGGGGTGCAGAAGGGAGGGCCATCACCTGTCCACTCTTCGCCTCCGCATCGACGCTTTCTAGGAGTTCGGCGCGCGTTCGGATTGACCTGCAAAGAGCGCGTTCAGGGAATTTCGGTAAACAGAACAACAAAATGTACGAAATGATTAAAAATTTGAATTTTTCAAAGACTTTCTGAAACATTTTTTGGCTCGTTAGCGCTCGAAAACTATTAAAAACCCTATAAAACGCTCAGAATTTGTGCCAGGTTAAAAATACACCGTAAATAAAGACTAGCTCGTCCCTCCCGCTAAGAGTCCAGAATCTGAGGAGCATGACTCATTCTCACCAAAAAAATTGGGCTCAAAAATTCAACGCCTGAGAAGCAATGTGATTATTGGCAGGCGGGATGACGGGTCGGGGATTATCTGCCCCCGGGGGCTCGGCGCTCTTTTTGCCAAAATGTCGGATTAGGCAGGAAATAAGGGGCGGAAAGTCCGGGTGCGCTTTTGACGACGCGATTTCCGCTATAATCGCATCTGTGGTCATCGGATCAACCATTAAGCCACAGCAATATATTAGGTATATTTTTATAAAGATCTGGTATGGAGGAAATAAAGGGAAAATCAGCAAAAAAACAACTATATTTTTGTGGATTTATTGAATAGGAACGTTGGCTAGAAGTTCAATCTTAGAAAAGTGGTACGAAAATCGGTACAAGCAAAGTTTTTCAGTTTTTCTTTGAGGATTTAAGCTTTTAGAAGCCGTAAATTAGCTTAATTTACCACGGAATGAAAGGCAAAGCACAGCTTATCTTTAGCTGTAAAAAGCTGGCTTTATTGCCGAAAAATTTAGGCTGGGCTTGGACTTCGGCTTGGGCTTAGGCTTAGGTTAGTCTGGGCTTAGGTT